AGAACCATAAAGGAAATGAGAAACCAAAAAAGAAAAATATTTTATCTTGATGAAACATGGATCAACGAGGGTCATACACCAAATAAATTTTGGCAGGATGAAACTGTTACAAGTCAAAGGCACGCTTTTGTAAATAACTTATCTACTGGTTTAAACCCACCATCAGGAAAGGGACGCAGGCTGATAATAGTACACATTGACAGTTCAGACGGTTTTGTTGAAGGTGGTTTATTAACTTTTGAATCAACTCGTACCGGTGACTACCATGAATACATGAACGCTGATGTCTTTCAAGAATGGTTCGAACAAATGATAGATCTTCTTCCTAAGAACTGTGTAATAGTAATGGATAATGCAAGTTATCACTCCAGACTTATAGAAGGACTGCCCACAACCAAGTGCTTAAAAAAAGACTTGCAGAATTGGCCGAGTTCAAAAAATATTACGTACCATCCCGGATCTATAAGAAAGGAACTTTATTCGTTGTGTGCCCTTCATAAATAAAAATTTAAAAAATACGAAATTGATGAAATTGCCAAAAATCGTGGAATGACAGTACTTAGATCCCCACCATATCATTGTGAATTAAACCCGATTGAACCTGAAACCTGAAAACTGGGAAAAGGCAGTAAATCACACTATTAAAGAAGGGGAAAAAATGTGGAAGCTGGACAATATTACTGATAAAATGATCGAGCCAGTTATTATAAATCTTGGTTCTGAAAGTTCATCTTCTGAATCTGATTTGGATTTGTAACAAGTAGCTGTAAGTTTTATATTAATATTTTTATTCATCTATTTAACATACCTTAGACGGTTTTAAAAACTCTTTTTCTCTTTTGTAATTTTTAAAAATTAAAAAAAAATGTGAATTTTCTAAAACCCTTTTTAATGTAGGCCAGTCAGTTCTAATATAGTGTGTGATAAAAGAGCTCACTTTTGTTTACATACACATAACACTTTATAACACTGAAATAATTCATTTATTTTTTACAATTATTCAAAGTAATTTTTCAATTAATCTTGAGCACGCCCATGGAGTGGTCGGAGGTACCAGTTAAAATTATGCTAATTACTCTCTCGTTCATAAAAATAAACTATAGGCCGTCCTACAGATCTTCTGTATATTAAACATATTGTTTATAAGGCTACATATTATCATTACTGCGTATCACGTGCATATGTCTCACTAGATTTTCCTTTCCGAAAGAAGATCCAGCCTAGCTCTGAAAAAAATCCAACACAATTTTAAAATAGAGCGCTCGGAAAGAATCTCTGGATACATCTCTGGATGTATCCAAAACAAGGCACCTAATGACCACGGGGTGTACAAATCTTTTCTTACTTCATCTTGTTAGTATTTATTTATTTATTTAAAATATAATTATATCAAATAAACGTTATTTTATAAACATTAACTTTTTATTTATAAACAATTTTTCAATATGAACTTATTAAATTTGAATAAATAAGTTTTTTAATATTAAAAAAAAATGTTTTTAGAACAAAAATCGTGTATACAATATTATAAGAAATTATAACTTCAAATTTGAGGAATTATAAATAACAATAAGAATTTGAGAAATTATAACAATCAGAATCGTCAATCCCGCGAATTTCAAATAAAAGACTACAAAAGCAAGCAATCTTTCTACCTTGCTTAGTTTGAGGATGGCACCTTTAGCCACCATACCACTAATGCATTATAATTTTTGGTTTTACCAGTATGTTATATATCCCATATAACATGTATTGATTTAAACTCCACATTTTTCCATATGGGCATTTGGAGATCATTTGTAATCATAGCTCTCTAGTTATTCGTTCAATCTGCTGATTCTAAGTAAGCCTAGAGTCTAATATGACTTTAAAGATACTTTACTTCACTCAACCAGATTTGGATTGGTACCATGCTTAGAGGGCCGAACTTCTTTACATTCTTCCTCCTGCTAAATTTCGTGATTTTGGACTTCTGGGTGCTTAGGACTAGGACATCCGTATAGCCCATGATATGATCTATGTCGTTCCTGATTCTAGCTTGCCTATTCATGACCTTAGCAGACCCCTTGCAGGCAACCTCTGCGGGCTACCTGTACTGAAACTATAATATCCCAGTTACCTTGTGTATATCACAGTGCTCCTCAGCATGTAGTCTATTCATCTGCAGTTTGTTTTGTCTAGTTCTTTTAGACGAATCCTGTTTCCATGGAGGATCCTGTTCTATAGGCATACTGCCTCTGGTGTAGCAGACTTTCATCGAATACACCATCCCTAATGTGCCTTTCGAGCAGTTTTTGTAGTATAAATAATATCAGACAGCATTAAAAGAATCAGTTACAAAAATGGGTTTAATAATAAACACCAGCAAAACGAAGTATATGAAATTAAGCACGCAATCACAAATCCTACGACCACTCGTTATAGAAAACGACGTCATTTTGCACGGATTTTGCATTTTGCAAACGACGAATTTGCACGGCCAACAGATGCTATTTTGGGCTCAATCTTCTCCTTCAATCCAGAATTGTATCGAGAAATACAAAAATAAAACTCTACAAAACAATAATACGCCCAGTCCTAACAAATGGTTCAGAGACCTGCACTCAACACCTGAACAAAAAATAATGAAAACATGTGACGATGTTTCGAAAAAAAAAGTACTAAGCGAATCTATGGAGCAGTGAATGACAATGTAGTGTACAGAAGACGATACAACTTTAAATTTTATCGAATATACCAGGAACCTGATAAACATATTAAGATAGGACGTCTGAGGTGGATAGAACATGTAATGCGAATGGAACAAAATGACCCAGCTAGAAAAACGCTCTTTGATAGACCCATTGGCCAGTGAAGAAGAGGAAGACCCAGATTAAGGTTCCTTGATAATATCGATCAAGACATGAGAAATATGGGAATACGTGCTTGACGGAGAAAGGCGATGAATAGGGACGACTAGAGAGAAATTCTTGAGGAGGCTATAACCCACACAGGGTTGTAAAGCCAGAATGATGACGATAATAATATCAGACTCATCGGCGTCATGGACTTAGCTTTTTCTTGTCCGATTTTGTCAGATCTGGATATAAAAGGCCCTTATGAGCCTCTATTTATGATCGTTGTAGAAACTGTTTGCTATAACATATATCCATCAACAGGTATCATCTTGTTGTTGCTAAAAATTCTCTTTTTTTTATTATATATTTTTTGTTTCACTTTATCAGTTGGGTATGTTTATTTTTTATTTCTGTTTATACATCTCAGCTCTGATCCAGTTAGTGGGCACCATCTATAGAATATGCAATAGCTTTCTTTCCATTGGTGGTACTTTTTTCTAAAAAGGTTTTTGCAAAAATCAAGATATTTATCCCAATAATCTGCTGTCATTATTGGACCATTTGCTATTCAAATACCATTGTTTAATACAATTCAATTATTTGATAACTTATCTAAAGAAATAAAATAATATTTCATTAAGCAGTTCCTGAAACTTATCAGAAAAACAATAAAAAGTGTTGAATTTATTTTTTGATAAGAGTTTGATACATGTTAAAATCAATTTTTAAATACAGCTAAACCTTTCAATGTTGAGTATTTGACTTTTGAATGGCAATGCAGGTTAACTTCTTACATTATAATCGTGGCTAGAATATAATTTCGTTTTACCAGGAAACATCAACTTTTCAAAACAAATTCGCCTCTTCTGCCATATCTTCAAGGGACTCAAAGTTAACAACTGTATCATATTTGCTTGGCTTATAGATTATAAAAAACTATTCGATATATCTGCATATTGAACTGATGATAATTTTGGAGACAATTGTCCTAGGTGGCAGATACAAGAATTATCAGGAAATTATATTGGAACTAATCAATAAATGCCGTAATAGTCCAGGGAAATAAGATCATCCCGTGACTTTGACCCGAATCTTTTAAAATAATTAACAATGCAAGGCCAAAAATGCACCATTTTAAAAATGTTCGTCTACTTGTTGAAACTTAAGAGTTATTAAGTTTTGTACAATTTTCTAAACAACAAATTAGTAAACCAACATTAAAAAAGTGCAATTTTAAACGTGTTTTATCAAATTCCCTAAAATTCGTTAAAAGTGCTTTACTTTTTACTAGTAGACGAAAGTTATCAAAATGGTGCATTTTTGGCATTAATTTTTAATAATTTAAAAAATCCAGCGAACCCACTGCTGGAAACGGAGGTTTTAGTTAGTGAGTCCATAAAACTCAAAAAGCTTGATATATCTGGGTGGGTCCAAGTCCTTAACAGGGTACTTTTTACCATATTTCTCTGGACTACAAAGCCTTCTACCTAGGAACCTGGATTTCAGACAATAATGATGAAACAACCTAAATAAGAGCTAGGATAGAAATAGCAAGAAATGCGTTTGTAAAAATGAAAACAATTCTCTGCAACAAAGATCTTAGATTAGAACTGAGAGTAAGAGCACTGAGATGCTACGTGTTTTCGATACTGAAAGATGGACTTGAAAGCTGGACATTGAAGCAAGAACACATAAATAACAGTCCTTTGAAATGTGGTGTTACAGGAGGATTTTTAGAATAGCATGGATACAGAATAAAACTAACACGGAAGTATTGCGAGAAATGGCAAAGAATGCGAAATAATAAACACAATAAAAATAAGAAAGTTACTGGGACACGTAATGAGGGGACAGCGATATGAACTGCTAAGGCTGATAATACAGGAAAGACAGTTAAGTTTTCTATCCAGGAATTAAAATTTAGATAAAATTGTTTTGCAATATAATTCGCGCACATCATAGCCTGATTTTCATACACATACATTCTAGGCGGCATTAATGGGATATGGAATGAGATTTTATATAATTTTTTTGTCATATATTTTTATTTGCCAGTTTCTCGTTTTTTTTTTTCGTTTGAAAACCTATATATATTTAATAATACATAATATTTTTTAATGAAATTAACGCATTAGATAGTAATACCCATATTTTATATTACAGTCTCGCAAATCTTTGGGCCCAGTAAGTCAAATAGCTCCCGAAACTACAACAGCAGCTATAGTAGCAGGCACATCAACTAACAAAGATCGCCAAACTCATCAGCAAAATTTAGAAGAAGGTGACGACAAAAGAAAACCGATGAAACACAAATGGGTGCCACTAGAAATAGATTTGAGCAAACCAAATAAAAACGAACGGAGACGAAACGAACGAGCTGGTGACGAGAGATCGACGGTTAGCGAGGGCGATAAAGATTGGAGAGCTGAAAGGGAGCTCAACGGACACCCACAAAGTGGCCGACATTCCAGATCCAACCCTAGGAATCGCAGCGACAGGCAGCGAGGGGGTAGGAGAGGAGCAAACAATAGACAAAACAACAGAGGACAAAATAACTTAGACTATCTCGATTACCATTCTCACGAATTTCCAGGAAAGATTGGCGATTTAGCTGATGGGCAAGCCTTCATGCCATATATGGGAACCTATTATTTCAATAGTAATAGCTATCTAAGTCTAGATGGCCCTACTGTCAAGGAATATGTTCGAAATCAAATGTTAGTATATTATTTTTTATTTAATGAATAAACGGCATTAATATATATTTCTTTTTAGCGAATATTATTTCAGCGAGGATAATTTAAATAGAGATTTCTTTTTGAGAAGAAAAATGGATTCTGAAGGGTACCTTCCTGTCACTCTGATTGCTTCTTTCCATCGAGTTCAAGCTTTAACAAACAATGTAACTCTGATTGTTGACGCTATTAGTTCATCCGACAAACTTGAGTTGACTGCAGGTTTTAAGGTAAGAAAAATTAATACAAAAAAGATTGAGTTAAATCATTTTATAAATTCATGTCTGTTTTCATTTATGGCAGTTTTTTCAATTTTTATTCATGGTAGTTTAACGTTTTGTAACATGGTTAATTCACTTACCTAGAGGGCAGTCGCTGTCATAAACAACGTAGGGATACAACAGAAGAGCAGAACAATAAGAAAATGAAAAGATAGAGAATTTTAAGGAAAAGAGAGTATATAGAAGAAGAAAACGACCATTTGAAAATAACAGATAACTCATGATGAGTTACTATAGCTAACGTGAAGAAACAAGTATGTAATTGAAGCTCCAGGAAGAAATAACTATAACAATAATGTGTAGTAGATCAAGTAAATTGCTCTCATTTTGAAGTTGAACTTAAAAAACCAGATTGTTGTGCAATACTTTGTAACAATGGGGTCCTCTAAACGCTTTTAGTGACTCTGGTATATCCACAGCTCTTGTATCAAGGCAACAGCGAACCTTGTAATCGTAAATTCTGCCGAAGTTGGTGTAGTGCCAAAGGTTTGTCCCTAGGATCCTGGTTAGGGTTATTGAAAACTATTTGGGGCATAGAGTCAACGACCGACTTCGAGATTGACTTCGACCTAAAAATGTAAAAATGTCTCATGAGAATCTTTACGTCACATTTAGGTGCATATTCAAGTCTTGTCATTTCTTCGTACAAATGTTTTTTCGTATCCTCGTCCAAGTTTTACCTAGGGGCATGTGCGTTGTAGAAGATGATATTACAGATGTGTTCAATCATCGCTTTTAAACAATCACTACATTTTTGGATCTCTTTATGACAATAAAACTCATTCTAAGTGTATTTGACATGTGATTGCTCCAAAATATTGTGAAAATCTTCTTTTTGCCTTAGATGTATTCCGCTCCATTCTACCTTTTGTAGAAAGGCTTTATTTTTGTATACTTCGTACTTCAAATGCGCCAAAACACCAGCTTTGTGTAAATCCAACGCATTCTAGATAAAAAAAAATAATGTCCATTGGTGCAATAATTGTGTTAACTAATATAACTATTAATTGTGAGCTTCCGTTCAACTATCTACAGACTAATTGATATTTTTCTGAATTTTTTTAGGTGAGACCGAAGAAAGATCCATTGAGATGGCCTATCTTGGATGAAAATAACGAGCAAACGGAGGAAATCCTTGCCAAAGTAGTTCCACCCCCTCCATTGCCTAAAACTCTTAGAGAAAGACAGCTTGATAACTTAAATCCTGATGTAGCTGAATTTATTCCTTCTGATCTAGAACAAAAGAAACAAAAATTCAACACTCTAGTTAACGGAAACCAGGATTCCTTAAAAGAAAAACCGAAAGAAAAGAATGAAGATGAAGAAAACTGGAGGGAAGTCAAGAGAAAAAATAAAGAAAATAAGGTCAAAAAAGAGTCGAAGGTCAAGTCTTTTGAGAGAGAAGAGCTCGATTTTCATTTTGATGAAGAGTTAGATCAAGAAGTGCCAACTGGACGACAAAATACATTTAATGAATGGTAAGAGAATATGTTTTAGTCTAATTATCCAGTTTTGTTAGTTTTGTTGTTATTTTAAATGCGAATATATTTGGTATTATAGGCATTAGTATAATTATAACCATAATTGATATTATCATTATGTTTGCCTTTATCTGTATGTGCAGTTGGCTTACGATTTCTCCATAATTTTCTATGTTGATGAAATCAATGTGTTAGAGAGAGAAATACCTTTTAGGTAAATAAGAGTGAGAACGTTTTATTCACGTATTATGTCACGTGTAGACTCATCCATTAAAGAAGAAAACAGGGGAGGAAACAACAAAGTTTGCAGATATTCTTCTTTATGTGCCGTCTTCTAACTTTAAACGACAGGTTTCTCTGTTTTGTGCCGCATGTATTATGTTCGCAGCTTGTGGTATTTGAAACCATTCTCTCAAGTTTCTCAGCCAGGGTTTCTTCTTTCTGCCGAAACCTCTTCTACCTTCAAGCTTGCCTTCCACGATAAGCTGTAGCAGACTGTACTTATCATTACGGAACACATGGCCCAGATATGATGCTTTCCTCCTTTTAACAGTTGTTAACAATTCCACCTCTTTACCCATTCGTCTTAATACCACTGTGTTGGTCACTCTGTCTGTCCCAAGTAGTGATGTGCAAATCAGAACTGACCCGATTCAATGAGCAGAATCTTCAGAAAGATCCAACTGACCCGAATCTCAAAATTAAATCTAACGGATCACGGGTCAGTAACAAACACATATGACGCGCGGAACGATGTAGTTCTAAGCGAAAGCGAGGAGTCAGCTGAACACTGAATCCCAAGTTCTTATAAACAGATCCGAATCTTTTTCATAATTTTGCGGTTTTGCTCGTTTGAAAGGAACGTGAATCGTGAACAGATGGTCGGTTGTCAGGTCGAGGATATTGGGAAAGCAAAATATTATTTATTTTACTGATAATTAATTAATTTTTTTTGTATTTCTTGTATTTTTGCTCACAATGGTATTCGTTCAGAGAGCAAGTAACATTTATGGTATTCCCAGAAATATTTTATGGCATGGCGTATTATTATATTGCATAATAATAATAATTTAGTATAAAAGACCTACAAGATCTTTTGTACTTTGTACATTAAAGCGACCTTAGATATGTATGCTTAAATTAGCATACTTAAAGCACATTTAGTTGATGATATATAATTAGCTTAAAAAAATTAAATTTTAAGTTTAATTAGGTAAAATTTAATAGATCAAAGTAAATTTTTGGTTGCCATAACATTTACTTGTAAGATTGAATAACAACTACATAATAACATAATGCTCTTACACTCGATTATCCACCGACCTCATACCGCTAAAATTATAGATTTGGGTTGCATATTATCTGTACTGACCCGACTGACCTGTGACCCGCCAAAGTGATCCGGTTCTCTTAAGTGAACCGGAACCGGTGACCCGAATCTTAAAGATGACCCGAAATTCTCGTCACTAGTCCCTAGGTATTCTCAGTATGTGTCGATACAGCCACATTTCTAGAGCCGCTAACTTCTTTATAGTTGCTGCTAACGTCCACCCTTCTACTCCGTAAAGTAGCGTAGAAAGTACATAGCATTTCGTGGAGCGCTTAGGGTTGCGGTTGCTTAAGAGCTTTCTCATTTCGATGAATTTGGATCTTGCTATTTCAATTCTGATCTTAATCTCTACATCTGGGTCCCACTTATCATTTACTGTATATCCCAGATATTTAAATCGGTGTACTTTCAATACGTTCGGCTTCAATATTCAGGTCGATATGTTGAATGTTCTTTTTACTGATCACCATAAATTTAGTTTTCTTTGTATTGATTTTCAGTCCAAATCGGTTGCCAGTTGTATTTACTCTATTTAGCATCATCTGTAAATCTTCGATGTTATCGGCCAGTATAACAGTATCATCTGCATATCGAAAATTACTTATTGGTACGCAATGAATCTTGATGCCTCGAAATGGTTACGTTTTCACTCACCATATGTCAATTCTTCATGTGGGCTGTTTGATTTCAATATAGATTTCTTATAATCTGGATGTCCTTAGTGTCAAGTCCTGTAAGATGTAATAGTTCTATGAGTTTGTCATGTTTGGTAGTTGTCTCATAGTCGATAAAACAGGCGTAAACATCTTTCTGTTGATCCAGGCATTTTTGAATCAAGACTTGTATTGCAAAGAGGGGCTCTCGAGTTCCAAAACCGCATCTAAAACCGAACTGTGTTTTATTTATGCTGTGTTCTAATTTTGTGTGTGACTCATTAAACTTATAAGGGGATATTCACTACACGTCTTAGAATTCGATTTCTTGGGAAGAGGCAAAAATGTAGATTTCAACTAGTACGATGGAATTTGACCAGTATCGCATATCTTATTAAACAGTTCCAATACTACATTCAGGTTGTTCTCGTTATAAACTTTTAAAAATTCGACTGGTATTTCATCGCATCCTGTTGCTTTCCCATGTTTCGTTTGATCTGTAGCTTTTATCACCTCACTTTTCAATATTTTTGGTCTGTTCAGATCAAGAGTGTTCGTAGAAATATGACGATAATCCTGTTATATTTTTATAGTTCTAATTTATTGTCTTTAATCTAATTTATTAAAACTTACGATAATTTATTATCAATTTATTAAATAACTGTACAACTATTTATTACGTTCGTACATTTAAATACGCCAGCCCCGAATTTATCTTCTTAATAACTGCTCAATAAAATCCATGGTATTTGTATATAAAATGCAGTTATCTCGAAAAGTCTGGGGATGCACCGATGACGTGACATCCATTAGGTGACTCATCCAGCAGGTCTCGAAAAGTCAATCGCATTCTGGTAAATTCAGAGAGTCGTCGCTGACAGCAGTCTTAGTAACTGAACTGGTTATCCGACCCTTTTGTAGAATTCGGTAGTATCTGACCTAGAACATTCGTGAATGAGTAAATATACAGTTTTTATACGTCATAATATTTATTATTGTAACAATCCGTAAACAAATCTTTTATGTAATTTGCCCAAGTCTGTAACTGTTCTTCTTTATATACAATTAGTTTATTGTTTTCGTCTATTAACCTACCAAACTATTTTTTCTTGTAAGTATAAGTAAACTTGATTTTTTATGCATGTTAAAACTATCGTGTCTTCGTTGTTGCTCTTCTATCTATTGACATTTTTCTTGTAACCATTTCTGTTTGGATTCTTTTATATTTCTGCTGACAATTCTATCCAGTTCTTTACATTGTTCGGGATTATTCTTATTTTCCCTATGTCTGTGTATAAGGTGTAATATTTCATCTGTCATCCATTCGTTCTTCTCCCGCTCGTAGTCACCAATTACTTCTTTCGCACCGTTGCATATATCATCCCTTAAGTTGGCCCAGTCTCTTTCAATATCATCAGTACTGGTTGTTAAAGCATCATTACTATTAATGCTATTTGTAAGCTCGACTTTTATCTCAGGATTTCTAAGTTGATCCATATCATTTTTTGTTATTCTGTTTCTGGATTAAGGTTTTTAGTCTAACTCGTAATTGGGCTACAAGAGGATTATGATCAGAGTTTATATCAGCTCCAGGATATTTTTTGGCTGATATTGTTACGTTACGGAATTGTTTGTTAATTGTTATGAAGTGTATCTGATTTCTAACGATGTACCCAGTCCTGTCCTGTGGTGACCTCCAAGTGTACAATCTTATTAATGGTAACTTAAACCAAGTATTAGTAATAATTAAGTTTTTCTCCTGGCCAAACTGTATTAGTCGATCACCTCGCTCATTTCTTTGCAGATATATGAAGTCATAATGGCAAATTACTGACACCGACTAGAGAATAATAGTTGAACCTCAAAAATAATTTGTAAATTCATTTAAATACTGGGGGCGGGACTTGGGACGTCAACATGTATCGTACTTACCTAAAAGGTATTTCTCTCTATTAACACATCGATTTCCTTATTATCTATTATGAAGTAACATGAAGAAAATAATTACAAATCTCTTACTCATTTTTGATGAATTCGTTCTTACTAATCTTATTTACTGTCTTATTTAGGCCGCCAGAAGATGACTCAGATGAATTGAGTGACAGAGACGTAAATAAATTGTTAATAGTAACACAAAACACAACTTCCTCAAGGGCACCTAAACATGAAGGATATGATCGGACCGGTGATTGGACTACTCGAGTTAAAATGAGTCAAGATCTCATTCAGGCTATAAACGATGGACTTTTTTATTACGAAGAGGACTTATGGACTGATCAAGATTATGTAAGTATCTAGAGCAATTTAATACTTTTATGTAAATTTTGCAGTACGGCTCCACTAAATGGAAAATCCCTGTCTTAAGCTAATTTTATGTAATAAATGTTGTTTTTTGTATCAATAATGATATATTATTAGGTATTCTTGGCACATCAGCGTATTTAGTAATTTTATATTGGAAATAAATGAACCTTAAACACCTCAAAACACAGTCCCCTGGTACGTCTGTTTTTTTGAAAACATTCGTGTTAAAATTTGAAACTCTTGCTGAGTCACGATACACAAATACCGGTAAGCTTTTGCGCACCCTAGCTCTATCTCTCTCGCAGTGTGTGACGTCACGTGCGAAGCAAAGTTTCTTTGGCACTTCATATTATAAAATGTGTAGTTTCATCATCAGTTGGCGCTACAGCCCTTCGTGAGCCTTTGCCTGCTTCAAAACATTCTTCCATCCTTCCCTATCGAGTGTCTGTCTTCTCCATCCCCTCACTCCAATCTCCCTCAGATGTTCCTGTACATCGTCCAGATATCTGAGTTTAGGTCGCCCCCTTCTTCTTCTTCCGACCGGCCTGTTTAGCATAGTTATTTTAGTGGGATCACTCTCATCCATCCGCATAACGTGGCCCACCCACCTTAGGCGGTTTATTTTGATGGTCTTCACAATATCTGCATCACCAAAAAGTCTATAGAGTTCAAAGTTATATCGCCTTCTCCACAGACCCTGTTCATTTACTCCGCCATATATGGTCCTCAATACTTTTTTTTCAAAGACTCGTAGTAACTCTTCATCTCGGGTCGTCATCGCCCATGTTTCCGATCCGTGTGTGAGCACTGGGCGTATTATTGTTTTATAAAGTTCGCACTTTGTTGCTATTGACATACTTCTCGCGCTTAGTTGAGGGCCCAGGCCAAAATAACAGCGGTTAGCCACGCATATTCTTTTTTTTATCTCGTTGGATGTGTTATTTTTGTAATGTACCAATGATCCTAAGTAGCAGAATTCTTCTACCATTTCTATCGATTCGTGTTGCACCTCTAAGTTATTTTGTTGTATTCTTGATATGGCCGGCATATGCCATTATTTGTATACTACGGGTATATACCTTTTTACCTTAAGTACCTTAGGTACCTTTTAAGTTTATTCCCGAATCTCTCATAACTTTTTCTAACGTTAGGTTGAACAGCGTGCACGATAGCGCATCTCTCTGGCGCAGTCCTCTAATGGTTATAAATGGTTTTGAAACATCCCCTTGTACGCGCACTTTACATTCGACTTTCATCATTGTCATTTTAATTAATTCTACCAAACCTTTTGGTATTCCTAATTCGATCATCGCCGAATATAATTGGGACCTATCAATAGTATCGTACGCTACCTTAAAGTCTACGAAGATGTAATGGCAGTCTATGTCGTACTCCGTCGTTTTTTCTAATATTTGTCTGATGGATGATATGTGATCAATGGTAGATTTGTTTTTCAAGAAGCCTCTTTGGTAGGATCCTATTATATTGTCAGTATACCGTGCCAGTCGTTCGTTAAGTATCAGGGACACAATTTTGTATGCTGTATTAAGAAGGGAACTTTGTATCTAAAGTTGGAACATTCAAAAACGTTTCCTTTTTTGTGTATGGGGCATATAATTCCAGTATTCCAATCTTCTGGTAACGCGCGTTCTTGCCATACCTGTATTAGTCGTTTTTGAAGGAGGGTTACAAATGTACCTCACATAATAGTGGTATTTTAATCAATATCTGTAATATCACATTTCCAAACAGATGGATTGGAACTAACGGACCCGTCCGATGGCCTCCAAGATCGCCTGAGCTATCACCCTTAGATTTTTTCGTGTGCATCTATTGAAAAGGAATTGTTTATAACAAAGAACCTACAACTGTAGACGATTTAAAAACTAAAATCAGAGAAGCGCGTACCCTGATTACGCACCAAAAAATCAAATTTGACTCCCCGCGGTTTTTAAATTTTAACAGGGGACTGTTTGAATATTTTGACAACATCTTCACATAGATATTTTGATTCAAATTTTATTTTAAAAATATAATGGTGATGTCTAAAGATGCTAACCAGTTTTTTTATGTATTTGGATATTTTTTATTCAGATATTAATGACAAAAAAATAAATACTTATAACAAGATTTGTAATTCTGGAAAGGGACATACCAGGGAACTGTGTTTTGAGTTGTTTGAGGTTTATTTATTTAAATATCGGTTACTAAATTGCACATTTCTTTAACTTAAGCCTCTTTACATCTAGAGTCATCTACAACATTTTAGTTTTTATTTACTTTATCAAACTACTATATGAGGAAAACTTTAAATTGAAACTATTTCTATAGCAGAACTCTTATTCGAGACTATTATTTTTTATAGGAAAGAAGCTCACTTGAGAGTTACAAGACTGTCACCGTTATTAGCCAAGAAGATTTTAGGAAAATGGCTCCACCCGCTCCAAAGAAACAAAATCCACAATTACCACCTCCACCACCTCCACTGGTATGTATCATCATGTGTTATATTAAATAACGCTTATTGTACACTAAAATGTGGTGTTTTAACGTTAAATGTTTTTTATTAGGTTGATAGTCCTTCAAAACAACAGCAATCGGTTACCTCTATAAACAACAATCGGAAACCAAATACTACACCAAGTAGAAACGTTCCAAGGTTCTACGCCGTCGTTAAAGATGACCGACCTGATCCTAGTACTCCAAGGAAACGGAAAACTAGGCATTCAAGCAATCCTCCAGTCGAGCAGCATGTTGGATGGATCATGGATGTCAGAGAACATCGACTTCGTACTACATCAACTGGGTAAATATATTTTATATAAAATTCCGAGATCATTTCTCTCATCGCAGTCTCAAGACTCACTAATATTGTGTTAAATATAAATATTTACAGAAGCAGCTACGGTACAAGCCCTAATGATGCTCATTTGGGTACAAGTTGTGGAAGCTATGGTAGCGTACCCCAGGCTCTTCCATCTTTCCAACATCCATCACATGCTCTGTTAAAGGACAACAACTTCACACAACAAGCTTATCACAAATTCAGACAGAAGTGCTTGAAAGGTAAGCAAGTTTATATTCATACACTTTGCTTTAGTTAACGGTTTTATCCTTTCAGAACGCAAACGATTTGGTATTGGACAATCTAATGAAATGAATACACTCTTCCGTTTCTGGTCATTCTTTCTAAGAGAGAACTTCAATCGCACAATGTACAATGAATTTAAGAGTCTTGCTCTTGAAGACGCAGAACAAGGCTATCGCTATGGCCTGGAGTGTTTATTCCGCTTTTTCTCTTATGGATTAGAAGTTAAATTCAGACCACATTTGTACGAAGACTTCCAACAAGAAACAGTCAGGGATTACGAGAATGGTCAACTGTATGGATTGGAAAAATTCTGGGCTTTCTTGAAATACTACAAACACGGCAGCCATCTCACCGTTACTCCTACTTTGAAAAAACACCTCTCCAAGTTCAAAACTATCGAAGATTTTAGAGTTGTAGAGGTAAGTAACAAATATAAAATATCTTATGTGAAACCTAGAACTATATTTACACTTTACAATGACACAAACGTAAGGTAAAATTTTGCTGTTAAATTACTTGTATATATATAATGACTATACATCCCTGCGTGGGGTTAAACCACGAATGCTTTCTAGATCCTATTTTTTGGGTGGATCAGTCCCTTTTGTTTATGTTATCTTCTTGACAATATCTCTCCATTTTTCCTGTCTCTAGTTTTATCTCTCCATTCCCTGACCCCGGCCTTTTGGAGATCTTCTTCAACTTCTTGCAGCCACTTTGATCTTGGTCTTCCCCTTCTCTTTCTTCCTCCTGAATTCCATTTTAACATTGCGTATGTAACTGCCTCATCTCCTGCTCGTCAAATGTGACGTAACCATCTTACTCTACATTGCTTTATTTTAGTCACGATGGCTTCCGTAATCTCTGCATTTGTTCTGCTTCTATATTCATTTTGCTCTGTTCTGATTGGTCCTAATATGGTTCTCATAATCTTTCTCTCTGCTATTCTTAAGTCTTCTTTATCTTTTTTAACCATCGTCATTGTCTCTCCTATATTGGCCTAATTATGCTGTTTTAAATGTTCATCTTAGTTTTCTTAGTCGAGAGTTTTGCTTTTAAGTAATCTTTTATTTGCAAAATAAGCTTTATTCGCTGTTAATATTTTTTTTCTTCTATTTCGGACTTCCTTTCTTGTCTTATAGTGGCTGTGACCATGTAATGGTCTGAATCTGCACACGCACCTCTAAATGTTATTTCATTTCAAAAATTACTTGCCTGTAATTGATGTTAAGCTTTTCGAACTTCCAAGACCCCAAACAAGACACTTAAATAGCATTTTACTAAAATACCTATGCAAACACAGCGTCACTTCGTAAAAATCGTGAACTTCGTGCAACTTCGTATCATAACAATAACATAAACGGAGGTATTATTTAGTGTATTTATTATAAGTCATTGGAGAGACTGTCAATAGGCAACCAGTAAAGCAGTTGGTGCGTTTTGTTAGAATAATTTATGAATAAATTGAAAAGAAAAGTTGTCCCGATTTATGAAAATGGTTTTATAGTACTCCTGTCTTATTATCTTACAACTCTTACATTCATTTTATGTAATATAATGTTGGAAATATTCATAAGGTTTTTGGTTTATTACAAACTAACAGTATAATTTTTGTTTTTTAGCCAAGGATTGATGAGATTTTGAAATCCCACCACGGCAAAGGAAACCAATACAAACAAAATAAAAGGAATAGAAGTGTTTCCGAAAGTCAGTCAGCGATGTCCAACAGCGCCCGTGACCGACGTCCATCTCAGAGCTACCAGAGGTACACAACAATAATTTTCTTTCTTACACACTAATTTTAATTCGTGTGAATAGTATAATTCATTTTAAGTTTCCTCTGATCGTTCTCATCAGTTGTGACATAGATTTTAGTGAGCCTAGACCTTTACAAGTGTTCTGCTAATTTTTCCTCAGCAATATTTTTTCCATCAAACTTTCGTTTGTTTATGGTACAGAAAAATAAACTCACAGAGAACAACAAAAAAAAAACAGGTTTTATTAATAACAATGCAAAAATTTTCTTCTTCTTCTTCTTCAGCCTATGTTCGTCTACTGCTGGACATAGGCCTCTTCCATTTGCTTCCATCGATTTCTATTTTTGGCAATTCTCATCCACTGCTTGCCCGCGACTTGTTTGATATCGTCTGTCCACCTCTTCTGCGGTCTGCCTACTCCTCGCCTGTTCTCTCTTGGTCTCCAGTTTGTTAATCTTTGTGTCCATTTTTCGGGATTATCTTGGGCAACGTGTCCGACCCATTGCCACTTGAGCCTTGCAATACGTTCTGAGACATCAGTAATTTTTGTTCTTTCACGAATGGCGTTATTTCGAATCCTGTCTCTCAAACTAATCCCTAGCATGGCCCTCTCCATTGCTCTTTGGGTTGTACTGAGTTGCTCTAAGGTTTTCTTTGTGAAGGCCATGGTCTCCAGTCCATATGTAGTTACAGGCAAGATACATTTGTCATAAACTCTACGTTTTAGACACATTGGTATATCTTTATTCTTCAAAGTAAAGCTTAATTTGCCGAAAGCTCCCCAAGACATTTGTATGCGTCTTTTTATTTCGGCTATTTGATTTTCTTTGCCGATTTTAATGGTATGTCCAAGATATATATATAGTGGTCTACATTTTCAAGACTGACGTTGTCAATAACAAGATTAGTTTGTAAATTACTCATTATTTTTGTTTTCTGAAGGTTCATTTTGAGACCTATTTTATTTGACTGCTGGTTTAATTCCTTCAACATTTTCTCCAGTTCCTTGATATCTGTACTAAATAATACTATGTCATCCGTAAACCTCAAATGACTCAAACGTACACCATCAATGTTTAGACCTTTTTCCTCCCAGTCAAGCTGTTTGAATACATTTTCCAATGCTAAGGTAAAAAGCTTTGGTGAAATAGTATCACCTTGTCTAATATCTTTATCAAGGCGCATTTTTTCAGTTTTTTCGTCTTCATTGATTTTGATGTGGAATATGGCCTGTTCATAAATGTTTTTAATGAGTGTAGTGTACCGTGAGTCTATTCGAGCATCCTTCAGGGCTGACAAAAAAGACCAAGTCTCAATACTATCGAAAGCCTTGTGACAGTCGATAAATGCCATATGTAAAGGTACATTATATTCTGTGGTTTTTTCTACTAGTGTTCTGATGGTTTGTAAGTGATCATTAGCACCAAACCCTTTTCTAAATCCCACCTGTTCAAGTTTTTGTGTTATGCGGTTGGTTATTATTTTTGTTAACAATTTGTATAAGTGTGACAACAAACTTATAGGTCTGTAGTTTTCAATATTAGTAGTGTCTCCTTTCTTGTGTAAAAGTATTATTTCGGCGTTTTCCCATAGGCTGGGTATTCTTTTTTCTGTTAGACACTTATTCAGTAAGACTTCCACAACTTCTACAACGATGTTGCCGTCCATTTTTAACATTTCAGACGTTATACGATCCTCGCCAGGAGCTTTTTTGTTTTCATTTGCTGTAAGGCATGTCTAATTTCCGAAGAGGTTATTTTAGGGAGGGTTTCCGAGCCGACGTTTAGAATTGTTCTGTGGTCTGTTTCGGGGTTCTGTATAGTAGATGTATAAAGATTCTTATAGAACGTTTGTATTTCCTTGATTATTTGAGTTTTTTCGGTCACCGTATTCCCCTGTTGATTTTTGATTTTAGTTATCTTTGATTTTCCTTTTGTTAAATTTGATTTCAATACTCTTATGTTTCTATTGTTTTCGATGGTTTGCAATATTTGTTTTGTTTTATAAGCAAAAAGTTTTCCTTTTTAAATTATTTTTAGTTAATAATTGTAAACAATGTGTTGTTTCCATTTTATTTTCTGATTTTTTAGACACACTTTAATATGTCTTTCATTTGAGATTATAATTAATTTGACGTCTCCGCTGTAAAAAGTCAATGGAGTTACAGAGATTCCAATGCTATATGTTCTCCTTACCTGTCAGTTTTTACTTGAACTTCTGGAGACTCAAAACTTAAAAATTACAATCCTAAGTCATAGTCATGGTATTTTTACTCCTAGCTGGGTGGTTGCCACTGTCGGGGTATGTCTTTGTTGCGGTAAAAATTACAATCCCAAGTCATAAAATATTTAACATAGTCACGGGATTTTTACTTCTACTGGGGTGGTTACAACTGTCAATCTGTATGGATCTTTCTTGGTTGTGAGAGTTGGCTAGAGACATGGGTACGGTCGGTAAACTCTCAGTGTCTATTTGTTCGTTAAAAATGAATATTTAAAACGGTAGTTCCATCAGTAAAGATACTAATGACCCAAGACCCTAATTACTGAACCATATATCTTAAGTGATCCAGACCCATTCCAGAGCCTTCAAAAAGATCCGTGTTTCCCATGACTTAAAAGCATGTCTGATTGATTAAATCTTTTCCATTGATGAATTCCACATTAATTCAATGTTTATCAACATTTCTGTAAGTTTATTTCGTGCTCATGCTTCATCCATTATTTTTAATTACTCGTAATACCTCAAACTTGGGTTTTGAGGATATCTATGAGCTTTGGTAATGTCTTAAGAATTTGTATCAACCAAACAGAGCAGTATGATTTTACTATTGTAGTTTTAATAAATTCATATAATCAACATTGGTCTGTTTTATTTTGCAGGAATGAAAATATGCAACATCAAACTGGAACAAGCGCTCCCGCCGATTCAGGATTTAAATATGCCAGATCTCGTACTCATTCATTTGGTTCCGGACGTATTCGTAATAATAGTACTCGCCAACGTACTGAGTCATGGAGGCAGAAAGATGTTAGAGAATGAGTCTGCGGTCTCTTCATTATTTCTTATGAATATAAGGTTGGTTTTTCAAAATTATTTTAAAATAAAAACTTTTTTATTTAACTAAATATACCCGCATCAACCGCTAAAGGTTATTAGCGGAAAGACATACACAAACAGTAAGATACATATTGTTACATAAAAAAAATTTACAATCTGGTATATAGTTTAGTCATTTTAAGATAACTTAATAAAGACTGTAAATTTGATGTTAGCATACTTTTTAAATTGTCACTAAGGGCGCGCGCGATTCTTTCGTTCTGGTATACTGGACACTCCATAATTATGTTTCACTGACAACTGAGTGATGCACTTGGTACACATCGGAGCAGCCTCCTGGTTGAAGATATGCTTGCGGGTAAGGAAAGTATGTCCTATTCGGAGTCGGTTGATGATGACTCTGTCTTTTTTAGTACTTGATAAGATGAGTTTGGTTTCTACTTGACTTAGACATTATTTGAGTTTGTTGGCAGTGTGATCCGAAGGAGTTTGCCACGCTCTGTACATGTGGGCTTTGATATTTACTTTGTGATCAGTCCAAGGCATTTGATTTATGATAGCAATACTTTGGTCGGTTGTTGCATTGCTTGCCAGAAAGTCCACTTCCTCATTACCACTTATTCCCATATGGGAAGGTACCCAGATGAAGGAAATATCTTTTTGTTGTCTTTAGATGAGATAACTCTTCTTTGATCTTGAGAAGTATGGCGTGAGTAGTTGTATATAGCTGTTTTATTCCAAGTAATGCGCTCATTGAATCGGTGATGATAACAAATTTGCTTTCATTGATAGAACCACATTTTTTCATGGCCTGGTGAATTGCTTAAGTTCTCCGGTATATATACAACAACAATTTGTTGGTATTCGTATGGTAGACTTGACGTTTTAGTAGATGTAGGCTGCAGCATGTCCTTCATCACATTTGGAAGCATCAGTGAAGATTTGATGGGTTGTTGGGTATTTGGGTATTACATTTTTATAAGCTTGCTGTATAAGGAAAGGATATGTGGAATCTTTCGGGAATTCTTTTAAAGATGTGTCTATTTTTGGAGGTTTCATCATCCAAGAAAGAAAATTTACATGAATAGACATAGTAAGTCTGAACTGTTCTAATTAAGACCATTATTCGCTCAGGAAATGGTAGTTTTTTTATTGCAATATTTCTGTAAAGATCGGACGATATATTTGTTCTGCAAAGTATTGTTGAGTAGGTTACGTTGCTGTTGTTTGCTGAAATTCTGGCTACGTATTTTAGTGATAGGTAGTCAAGAGGTATTTGACAGCATTTTTAGTAGATTAATTCTGAATTGGCAAGAACGTTGCAGATTGGTTATGTGGCTTTTCCAGTTTAAGTTACGTTCAAAATAAATTACTTTTGTGTGTAAGGTAATATGCAATATATGTGTTCCCAGAGTTACATTGTTTGTTTTTAGATAAATGACGAAGTCATCTGCATATAGACTAGTAAATACAGGTAATTGTATTTGATGTATTTATTGCAATTAGAAAGGACTTAGAGTAGATCCTTGTGGAGTGCCGTTTTGGAGTAATCGTCTGGAAGATGTAAATCCATTGGTTCTAACTCGAGAAGTTCGTGTTTCTAGAAAATTTTTAATAAAGGACAACATATGCCCTTGAACATCCCATTCTTGAAGTCTTTTTATTATAAGATCTCTCCATGTTGTGTCAAACTCTTTTGTTATGTAAAAAAATACGGCAATAAGTTTTTGGTTGTGCAGAAAAGATTCATGTATACTTGATTCAAGTGTTATTAGATTATCTGTTGTGGATCTACCGGTACGAAATCCACTTTGTCTGATACTTATTAGGTTATTGTTTTCGAGGTGCAATTTAAGAGGATAATTAAGGATTTTTTTCTAGAAGTTTGCAGGTACAACACGTAAGTGATATTGGACGATAGGAATTTTGATCATCTTTTGATTTATTATATTTAAGGATTGGAATTATAGTTTCTTGCGACCATAGATCGGGGAAGTTATGGTGAATAAAATATTGTTAAAAATATCAACAAATATTACTTTTGCATTCAGAGGAAGATTTCGTAGGAAAAAAGGGTGGATATCATCAGGTCCTGGACTCGAATTTTTAGTTCTTAAACAAAATTCTAATTCCTGAAGACTTAATGATTTGTTTATTGGATTGCCGCTCTCTGTGATTTGTATATTTGAAGACTCTGTTAGTTTTTTGTGCTCTAGAAAGGATAGGCTGTAATTGGAATCACTAGAATTTAAGTTCATCAAACACTATGTCCAACATTCACCCAAGTTTCGTCCAAATAAACGACGGTGTATCCTTCAGAACGATTTTTTTTATTTCACGCAAATACTGATGCCTCCATTTTAGAATATCGGGCTGTTCAATCGTGACTTTACTCCTTGTTTGCAAAAAACAAAGTTCATTTCATGGAGTATTCTCCACATTGTTGTGCGTGGCATGTTTGCTAAATCTTTGTCTTTTTTAACCAGTGCAATAACTTTGTTCAATGTCGGCGGTAAATTTTTAAAGAAAAAACTATGCATGATGGCACGTAGCCGCGTATGAATTACTGTCTAAATCAGTAGGATGGGATGGATCAGTATATTTCATGAAGTAATTTGAGAGTTAAATTTAAACACAAATATTTATTTATTGTTGATTTGTACTTCATAGTATGTTCTATAATATTTTAATTATTTTATTTTGTTTCAGGCTATTTTAAATAAATCTGGAAATCAACGCCTAAAGATTAACCAGATGTGATCCACCACCATTTAGATTATCTTTATCATAATTGAAGGTTTGATTTCCAAAAATATAAAAATTAATTTGGGTACTTTAAGAACACTATTGTAAAAAGCGTTAGCTTTTAAACGTGTGTTATTGGTGCCATTACCGAAAATATTTTACAATTTTATAATTTTTCGTACTTTTCTAGTAACACCATTATGAGTAGAGTGAAATCAAACAGAAAAACTGAACTTCAGTGGCTCTAGAATCGTATCGGTTTGTGAAACTCATTAGTACCTATATTTGATTGTAGCTAAAATGACTAAAAATGATCTTTGAAAAAAACTCGTTTGTGTAAATAATTTTTACTTTTCGAAAATGTTCATTTGTGCTTTTATTCATTTGATTTCACTTATAATTTGTAATTTTAATAACATCTAATTTGTACATACATTGTCTACGTGAACGGAAAGCGATTTTATTACAGTGTAATTGTGCTGCAATTGTACCGATGTTTTTGAAAATACCCAAATTCTATTCACACACAAAATGTTCATACAATGTGTTCATATAATTACAACTACAACAGCTTGTTTTTATTGAGGGAACTTCTACATGTGACTCACATTTCGACTTATTCTGACTTAGTGAATCGCTCACCTTATACAAAAACATTAACAATGATTCATAATCGTTTATTCTTAGTCTTAAAGGTTTGTGATTTACAAGAGAAATTAATTAGTCGTTGAAATTTTAATGTAATGGTTATGTCAAAATTTTTGCGATCTTTACTTAGATAGGTTATAAAATAGATACTTGGTTAAAATATTAGTTGCTCAAAATATCTGGCCAATACTTATTAACCCTTTCCAGACGCCACGCTGGTTTTGAAACATTTGCTGCACTGATATTTTGTGTTAGATTAGGGAAGAATGTTAGATATTTCTGTGAGTGAAAATGAGGTTTTGACAAATACATGCTGTCTTTTTCGTACTCGGATTAATCGAAATGCTTTTGCTATTCGAATGCAATTATTTCTACACTTTGACGCAATTAATTATTAATTTAAACAATAAACTGTGTAGCAGTTAAACAATAATCGAAAATGCTCTAAAACTGCTATTTGTTACAGTGACATTTTGTCATTGATAAAAAAAATGATAGCTAGGTTTTGTAAACCGTACCGTCAAAAAATGAAACGAAAATACAATGCGATAGTATTCACACCAAGGAGAAGGAATAATCTGGGTTATAGGTGGACGGATCGATCAACACTCGATTCGGCAAGGAGCAGGAAGTGATTAATCAACACTTAGTCACGGAAGCGGTTGGCCTTCTTTTCCTATGACCAGTGGAATGGTTCACAGATCAAAACTCTGATAGAACTCACAGGTCGATTGGCCTTTGATCAATACCCAAAGGCCCGGTGGAGTTCTCACCAGATCATTACTTTGGCGAAAGTCGATTCTCCTTTGTGGCGGCGGTTGTTTTATACCATTACTGCTATTCCATCTTCTGCGCCCATCGATGGAAAGTAGCGGTGGAAGTGCTTGTGTACGGAGTGGTGGCAAGCTGGCGGTTCTAGGAGTTGCAGTTAATCACAATATCCTAATTAACATTCTTAGTACTGTATCTATCTATCGCACCTTATTGTGTGTATAGTGTATCCATTATTGCCTTTTTCCTCTTTTGCATGCCCTTGGTCAGCAGAAAACTTCCAAATGTGCAAGCAATTTGTTAATATATTAGTAACAAAATCAGAGGGCCAAAAAGTCTATAAGCGAATAAAAAGATATACAGTAGAATGTCACTATTCCGGCACTATAAAAATCCAGAGGATGTCGGACGGTTGGAATTACTGGATTGTATAGAAAAATTCAAAAGTAATAAAATAAACCATTTGTGTTTATGTTCTACATATTTTTTATAACTCTAACAAATATCACATTTAACTAGTTACATAAATACATAGTTATAATAATTTGAAATAATCCTTAATTTAGGTTTGGTTTTGTGCAATCTCTAGTCCTTGTTTAAAAACCGTTTTTGGTATGTTTTTGAGAATTATATATCTACTAGCTTTCTTCTTCTTAGACTGCTTCACATATTTCTGCATCTGTCATAATTTGTTATGTTTCTTCGGTCTATTCAAGATTTTAAATCTTCTCCACTTGTCTCGAATTCTCTTTCTTCTAAATTATGAAACCAATCGGCAATAGGTAGATTATCTTTAGGATCATGTTTTTTTCTGTTTCTTGTAATGCAGCATTCATTGTAAGCCATAGTTTTATCCATGATGATTGTATTAAGCCGCGTTGACATGGGTAGTGATCAGACGCGTGAGCCACGCTCAGCGTAAACACGTACGTTCTCCTTATTCTCCTAAAAATTTACTTATGATATGGGGAGTCTAAATAAATATTCCAAACTTTAGCTCCAGTAGCTAATATCAAAGTGTTATTTACAATTTGAGTTCTACTCTAATATTAGTAAAAAATTTTTTTATTTTTGGGGATAACAAATTCCAATAAATATTGAAAATTGTGTTCCCGACATTCTAAAAAAACTTTTAAAATGTTCAGGGTACTTGGAGATGTCTTTAATTAAATTAGTATGATTTGTTGAATCCACCCCCTTGTAACCATCGGCCTTTTTACCTTTTCTTGCGAAATTGGTGAAATCCTGTCTCCTATCACTCCATACATAACTTGGTATGCTTCTGCCAACAAGGTCTGCATATTCGCCACCGAAGCAAATATGTGCCACGTAAACTCACTTCATGAACGAGGCATGCCACGGTCGTGAGAAGTTATTAAGATTCATGTACCACGAGTGTAGCTCTTGCTCGTGATTTACCACTCATATCAACGCTGCTTTAAGTTAAGTGAAATAGAACGTGAGCGAGAGACAATACAACATCCTTCAAATTAAACGTTTTGGAGGCTCTGCGTTATGTCATCATCCTGATAAGTAATATACAATGACTTACTTTTATAGAAATGCTTTTATAGACAAGTTGAATCTTCTCATAAACTTCTTCACTTCTAGAATAAAGTCTTCATTTATGGAACCAGTCACTAAATGGCCAACTCTTGTTACCCAACTTTTTCATTGGTTCTTTTAGCAGTGTTTTTAAAAGTGTCACCAGTCTGACAACGGCCTTCCCACTTCCTGAGTACGTTACGTGCGACAGTCAACTGCGCGCAAGTAGGAGGGGGTGGTTTTAGTTGGTAGGCAGGATAACAGGAAGGCAACCGTTTGCAGGACCTTCTTCTTTCCTGGAAATGGGCTCGGATGTACTCCTCTATATACATCCGATGAAATATGTGTGATAAGATGATTCATATGATGAAATGTGTACGTTGTTCGGAAATATCTGACGAAATTTTATTTGAAGCGATTATATTTGCCGTTTGTTGAAAAGGGTTAAAATAACTGATCTATTTTGAAAATGATTCTTGTAGTCCAAAATGCAAGTCCTAAATGCAGTGAAATCTAGTCATTTTTTATATTTCTTTATGGACGAATAATAATTTTTGAAATTTGATATTTTTTAGTGGATTGATATTCAGTAACTTTGGCCACAGTTTCTGTTGAAATATTTTATTTTGTAATAAATAAAATATAACAAAAATGATCATTAAATATGTACTCTTCAAACTAGTTTCTTAGAAATTTACGTACTATTATATCAATTTTTGCTAATGAGTTATGTAATTTTTATATTTTGACAAATTGTTTAAAATTATGTACATTTTTTGATTTTAATTAGTTATATTACAATGTCGCTCTATATACTTAAATTTAGATTTCTTTTTATTAAAATGTACAATTTGATTCCGGTATACAGTGGGTGATCAAATTATTAAAGCCACCCCATAAAATGTTATTTGGTTTAATAATGGTATTTAATTGATCTATAAAACATATTTTTGTGCGTAATGCTATTCTACTGTGATTTAGAACCTTATAAAGTTTACAAATGTTAAAGAACAAACGAGTAGTTACATGAAAACACTTAAAATTATGCCTTAAGCCCAATACTTGATAGTGTCACTCTTTGCAGAACTGACTGTCTGGCACCTTCTTGGCATATTTTCTCTGCATTTCTGTCAATTTTGTTGAATTATTTCACTCTTGTGCCATACTGCTATTAAGCGCTCGATCAATTGACACTTTGTGGTTTATTTTTTCATGGGCAAATCAATGATTTTTTTTATCCAGATCTGGCAGATTCAACCCTTATCTGGTTTTCAGCAAAGAATTTTTTTGTTTTTGCCTTGTGACGGGGCGCTGAGTCATGCATAAACGTTAAACTCTTATTTGGTAACCACTCCTGAACTTGGAGAAGCATTTTTGTTAGCAGTACTGGTCTTGCCGCATTATTCCTTCGACAATCTATAGGCTACCAGTTCCTTGACTGCTTATGGTAGACCACACCATGATAATCAGGGGGTGCTTTACCGTCCTTACAGTACAATCCGCGCTCTATCCATGAGGATCTGCACAGTAAATTTGTCCGAAAAACAAACAGAATAGAATATTATTATTTTAGAATCTTGGACAAATTGATCAACTGTAAACTACATAAAAGAAAAACAATGTTAAGTAATATTATTTGCCTGATTCCAATCATCAGTGGTCCGACCTTTATGATGTTTATCTCATCAAGCCTTTTTTCTTCATGGCTGGTGTGAGTAGCGGCTTTTTTGCAGGGCGACAGGTTGAAGACCCCCAGATCCTTTATTCGCCAATGGTGATTGGTGAAATATTTATACCAGACTTTTCATCATTTTCGTTAAAATCCTTCTAAGTTGTTTTCTCTTTGCCAAGACAATGTCTCAAATTTTTCTTTCACCTCGTGTCATTGTAAGTTTTTTTCACATTTTTGTTTCAAAACTTCTTTTCAAAAGTTTTTCTTTATACGGCCCACAGTTGCCTTGAAACTTTAGAAATTGAAAGTTTTTGATGAGATGTCTTTGACCTTTTCCATGAAGTTCTGGTACCAGTGGTGGTAACATGGAATGTAGTGCAAAATTCACAAAAAATAGTAAACACGAAGATTACAAAATATTATGCACACTAGTGTCAAGCTAGGCTAAAAAGCACTGACAAATAATGGCATCTGAGTCACGTATTGCCACACCCGCTGTGTTGCCACTATTGCCAGACTATTTATTGTACTTTCATAAAGTGTTACAAAGATGATCAAATAAAAACAAACGCATAAATTATACAGCTCAATTATATACCCATTTTCTAAAAAAAATTGTATTTTACTAGGTGGTTCTAATAATTTGTTCACTCCACTGTATTTACTTCTACCACTTTAGGATATACCATGACATATCAGGTGAAGCTTGTCTTTGCAAGCGAGCGATCAAATCTCGAGATGTGAGACTTTTCTGCCGTTCCCTGTTAGTTAGAATTTGTATTTTTAGTTAGTAGTCAGCTGTTATTTTTGTTTTTCGGTTCTTTTTTTGTGTACTCAGTGAATCAAAATCATTATTATACCTTCTCACGTATTTTGAAGATTATTTGAGTTGTTTTAATGACGTTATTTTTGTTTTTGAGTAATTTATGTTTATGACTACATTGTTATTTTATTGTAATTGATTTGTTATTTAGCTCATTATTACAAAGGACGCTCCTAAACCAGGAGAGACCTTTTTATCGTTTAGTTTGCTTAATAATTGATTTCTTTGCCCTGAATAGTAGCAAACTTTGATGCACAAAGAATGAAAAGTTTGCAAAAAGTTGGTTTTAAAAAAATAATTTAAATGATCTTCAAGGCCATTTAAAAATCTGAACGTGTGCATATAAAGTATAGTATAATTGAATGGGAAGAAAACTGTACATTATTAGACAAATCAGGTAATTTATAAAATCAAATATTGTAACTGCATTATGTAAAATACCCACTCTGCCACCGCACGAGCAGTTTTAAAATTATTGTAACATATAGATATATAAAATAGCTAGTTGTATTGGAAAATGTGTACACTAAAATGCTAGTTACCTTTTTTTTTTTTCGACAAAATTATGTACCATCTCAAGATTTTCCTTTATACAGCCAGCAATAAATATCTGATTTCCTAACACAGAGTATTGTGTAGCAGGAAATTTTGTTTAAACATCAGGTTGCCAGGTATAAGGATGTTTGTGAATGTTAAAAATTTTAGCTTTTTATATTAATTGTACTGGGCTTTCCGATAGAAAGTATATTGCTCAATAAATTTGTAATTGGCGATCATAAAGACTAAACGGAAATGATAAATTATCATCCACGTTTGGACAATGTCATTAGTGCCCTATTTATGATTATTACCTAATATTTGCTATACTTCTTTATGATTGCATCGCAGATGATAGTAATCCAGATACTCAACGTCTCCACGGACGAAAGTTCTCGTTATCGTTAGTAGTTGTCACCTCTGGATATGTTGAGTACGTGAATTATTATGCATAACGCGCATAATGTGAATATAGCGAAATGATAAGCCAAACTTATAAAAGCGTTCCAACCATTTTCACATGCGTCAAATAATATTAATTAGTCTGTGTCATTAAAAATTTATTTTTACCTTATATTAAAAATATTGTATAAGTACATTCTAGTATTGACTTCTACATATAAGAATAATAATTACAATGCTTCATTTCATTAGTATTTCTCTACTTACCAAAAGTACTTTAATTCTTATAAAAATATTCCTAGTTGTTTCCATTACCCACTGTTTTTACAAAATTTTCAGCACTAAAGGAACGTAAATAGCTTTTTCTTTGTTTTAAATTTCATGTTTCTTTTTTTGTTTTAAGATACTCTATTATGTTTTATTATTAGTTTTAGTCCCCCTGGTCCAGTTGTAGACCAAAGGGGCTTTATAGTTATCTGTTAAAAAACTATTTTTAATTTTGTGTGTTAGCATAAAATTATTTATATAATGATAAAATAATTTTTTGCCCGATCAATACAGAAATGGCCGGTGGATTCAAACTAAGACTCTATAATACAAAAGTGGCTGTTTACACAAAAATTATTAAAAGTTATCTTTATTTTCACTTTTTATACTTCACTTTTTATACTGTTAAAACTTTAATTGTAGTTTTTTTATTTTTATCACCGATAACCATTCTGTTTTTTCCACAAATCTTTATATTAACTATATTTTAGATTGATTGTTATATTATGTTAAATAATTTTTTGTTACCAACACTTTGGACTATTAAAGTCGATAAGTAATACAGGGGCAGGGAGCTGTCGAAACTTTCCAAAAAAGTCTAAAATCAAGTAAAATAAATATATTTTGGTTCAACTTTAAATTAGTATTTTTTTACTGGCGGTAGTTGTTTATATAGTCATATTAGGCATTCACCCAAAATGCCAATCAGACTACATTTAAAATATCCACTGAAATGTATTACATGTTTTTTGGAAGATATTTGTTACAAAATGCTACCGCAAAATTTAACAAACTTAATAAAAAGATAATTGAAGGATTTTTACATGTATTTAAGACGTTTATTTGGAAAGGCTCGTAATCTCCGCGTGAGACTTTAGTTGTCTAATAGTAAGGTTAAGATACTGAATTAATTGGTCTAGCGGTTTTTCGCTGGGATATTTTGAGTTTTATGGGCAAGAAATTAAAGAAAAAAATGTGATAATGGGTGTAACTTTAGTGTTTTGCTTATTCCTTTGCATTTAAGTATATATAAGTTAGTTTGTAAAGTTCGTTGTGGAAGAATAGTACGCAATTTGTCTTCCAGTAACACAAAAAAATAATAAAATTCTAAAAAACCAAAAAAAGTTTCATTATTAAATATTTTTACAGAACAGTTCTACAGAACTCGATCAGTTGTTGGACAACAAGTTACTTATTAAGCATTGGTTACTAAATAAAAATCAGTTCTGTTCCTATGCCAAATTATATTTTTTCTAGAAGGATAGCGAAAATGTGTTTCTTTAGATTTCATATCTTTATGTAAATAATAAGATGTAAGACAACAACTGTGTTTCTGTACCCTTTCTCCTATCCCGATTTAATTTTCCACAAAACCAGTTGATTTCTGTACAATCAATCCTATGGACAAATGAAGGAGTGTAGGCTTTTGCAGCTGGGTGTTATATAATGATCAAAAGACTGATATGTTTTTTGTATACACTTATGACAAGTCAAAAGAAAAGGCAAAAAAGTATTTTTGAAGTGTATATTTTTTAATAATTCCTAGCTGAGCGCTTTCGGCTTTACAAAGCCATCATCGGAGCTATGCTACAATAAAATGTTTTTATAAGTACATAATTGGTGAAGATTTTAATTTTATACTTATTTACTTTATATCCCTATGTCTCAAGAAAATTACAATAAAGAAATCTCCATCATTAAACAGATAGCAAACAACAATGGTTTTCCTTCTACTACCGTTGATAAAGTCATTAGAAGATCTATACTCAAAAAGAGACTAAACCAAGCTCTTAGTGTTGATAAAAAATCCAACACTACTTCCATATCCTTATCTTGCTTAGGACCAATTTCAGAAAAAATTTCAAGACTTGTTAATAAAATCAGTGACTTAAACATCTCCTTTAAAACCAAATATAACATCAAGTCCATCTTCAGCAAGACCAAAGACAAAGTTGACAAACTAAACAGAAGTGGTATTTACAAGCCGTCCTATGGTGACTGTAATATGACTTATGTAGGTAGAACAATGAGAACTCTGAATCAAAGAACACCTCAATAACCCAGAAAAATCAAACTTTGGATATCACATTAAATTTAATAATCATTCCTTTTCTCCTTCTGAAAACAGTAAAATTTTACACAACATTCCCAATAAAAACTTTTCACTCATGAATCTCTTGGAAGATCTTGAGATATCCAAAGAAATGAAACTAAACCCTGATTGTTGCTTAAACACAAATCAAACTCAATTGCAATTATAAACCTCTTTTTAAATTATTATGGGAGAGTTTAGAGGAAGAAGGGTGACCTCATGCAATCTTATTACTTTTTTTCATAATTTTATATTTTTAAACAAAAATTCTAAACTTTATTATAAATTTACAACATTTTGTAATTCATTTGACAAGTTATTCTTAATTGATACATGAAAATATATTCTATAAAAAAAATTTTATGCAAATTTCTTACAAATTTCCATCAAGAGATACAATTCTCAATACACTTAAATATCAGATCATGTAACATTAATACCATGTTTCTTCTTTATATTATTATTGAACGATTTTAACCCTTGTTTCTTAGGGATGACTGTCATATTGAACATACATTGACCTTGATCAATGACTTAGTCAATTTACAAACTAATATCATTCTGTATGATGTGATGAACACATAAGATTTAATTTAAAAGCTTAAAAACTTAATTTTTAGAAAGTCTTTGATGACTATTAGTAATTCCAAACTATTAAATAATCTTGTAAGAATTTAAAACAATCTCTATTTCCTATACATGACACTTGTCAACTGTCACTTTGGAAAAATCGTTTAAAGGGACCGACATTTGATTTCATTGGTTCTTAGCTAGGAATTATTAAAAAATATACACACTTCAAAAATACTTTTTTGCCTTTTCTTTTGACTTGTTATATAATGGTACATTGTTCAGCCAATATTATCAAAGACGGTCTCCGGTATTTGTGACCCTCAGAATTGTAACTTTCGGTACGCCTAAGGAGAGTATTTACATTTCATAGTATTTTCAGCATTTCTACTTCGTCAGACATTCAGGCTGATACAAATTCAAACTCGGAAAGTGCAAATAATGTCTCCTAAATCTTCCCAATTCAGTGGTTATCGTACAGAGGTGCCATCTACTTTGGTGGCTAGGAACGAAAATGATTTAATAATATCGTTTTCTGTCCTCTAGGCTATACGAAATGTGCAAAAGATTCAACTTTTACAAAATCTGCTATCGATTTGTTGAATTAAATAGCCAAATATATGGCCTAGGAGGACAAATTCGTTAAACTTCCCGTGTTGTAATCGGTATCAATAGAGTGTGATGACGTCATTTCAGGGCTTCCGAGCCCGCAGACACTAGTACACTGATCACTAACCAACGCATTACAACACTGGGAACACAGGACAGTCACACTGCATACAGTAGTTTAAACAGTTGAGTAACCTTTTTGTTGATTACTTGGGGTAAGTACCAACTGAAGAATGCCTTAATGTAGTACTTTGTTCTAATTAACACCTTCGCTGCGATTACGATAAATTCAATGATTATGTTGTATGCTTACCAGTTGCAATTGACTGGTACTATGAACTTAGATACACCAGTCGCAATAGAATGGTAGTTTTTAAGAAATGTGAGTGCTATCTATCTCTAAATATTTAAAGATTTATGTGTAGTAATAGTTTTATACATACACGGAATATACAAACTTACTGGAAACTGCTCAGTACCAGGCTATTCTTTTTGGTAAAGCAAAAACTGAAATTTTTAAGAAGTACATACTATTTTCAAGTAAAATAAAACCAAATCTTTTAGTGAAAACAAAATACATATTATTATTACAAAAATAACAATACACTAAACAAAGAAAAACAAACACTTTGTGTTTATTTGTCTTTGTTTAGTGTATTTGTTATGTCCCAATTTACATTTATGACATTCTGTTACTCTTGGATAGGCCACAACTGACGAAATGCCCCTGAGGATGATCTTGTGATCGAAAGTACTTGGGCAAGATTTGATTAACTACTGTGTTCGATATTTGCTTTGTGTACCATCAAAGTTAATTACTATTAATTCAATTAAAAATATTGGTGGCTCCTTTTTGATTGACAACGTTTTATCAATGTAATCTCATTTTAAATGTATGTAATAATGTGAGTTTGATTAACTACATTATGAACGTAGTAACCCTACAGTGGGATCTTGTTGCTTGTATGCTAAAGAAGCCAAACTGTAAAGAAGGAAACTGCAATTGCAATGGGCCGGTAAAGCAGCAATGACTGATATTTCTTGTTACAGTGTTGCCGATCTCACAAAATATTTGTAGGTTGTAACCAAAACTGTGTATTATAAATATTATTAGAATGAGAATTGGTACAAAATTAATACAATAAATACTACTGTTGTATTTTGTTTATTTATATAATTTTTTAGTAAATATCTACTGCCTGAAATGGCTGTATGCAACTCAATGCTCAACGCGAACATTGTTCAGCAATTTTAAACTTCATCTACAAAATCTAGTAATAGGATAACAGAAACGGGTGAAGATCGTCCGATTGTGTGTTTGTCTCCAACTCAACGCGAAATTGTTCAGGCAATTTTAACTTCATCTACAAAATCTAGTATTAGGATAACAGAAACGGGTGAAGATCGTCCGATTGTGTGTTTGTCTCAAACTCAACGCGAAACATTTGTTCAGCAATTACTTCATCTACAAAATCTAGTATTAGTATAACAGAAACGGGTGAAGATCGTCCGATTGTGTCTCTCTGCTCAACGCGAACATTGTTCAGCAACTTTAAAGTTCATCTACAAAATCTAGTAATAGGATAACAGAAACGGTGAAGATCCTCCGATTGTGTGTTCGTCCGCAACTTAACGCGAAGATTGTTTAGCAATTTTAACTTCATCTACAAAATCTAGTATTAGGATAACAGAAATGGGTGAAGATCGTCCGATTGTGTCTCTGCTCAACGCGAACATTGTTCAGCAATTTTAAACTTCATCTACAAAATCTAGTATTAGGATAACAGAAACGGGCGAAGATCGTCCGATTGTGTCTCTCTGCTCAACGTGAACATTGTTCAACAATTTTAAACTTCATCTACAAAATCTAGTATTAGGATAAAAAAACGGGCGAAGATCGTCCGATTGTGTCTCTGCTCAACGCGAACATTGTTCAGTAATTTTAAACTTCATCTACAAAATCTATTATTAGGATAACAGAAACGGGCGAAGATCGTCCGATTGTGTCTCTCTGCTCAACGTGAACATTGTTCAACAATTTTAAACTTCATCTACAAAATCTAGTATTAGGATAACAAAAACGGGCGAAGATCGTCCGATTGTGTCTCTCTGCTCAACTTGAACATTGTTCAACAATTTTAAACTTCATCTACAAAATCTAGTATTAGGATAACAGAAACGGGTGAAGATCGTCCGATTGTGTGTTTGTCTCCAACTCAACCCGAAATTGTTCAGACAATCTCTCTGCTCAACGCGAACATTGTTCAGCAATTTTAAACTTCATCTACAAAATCTAGTATTAGGATAACAGAAACGGGTGAAGATCGTCCGATTGTGTGTCTCTCTGCTCAACGCGAACATTGTTCAGCAATTTTAAACTTCATCTACAAAATCTAGTATTAGGATAACAGAAACGGGTAAAGATCGTCAGATTGTGTCTGTGCTCAACGCGAACATTGTTCAGCAATTTTAACTTCATCTACAAAATCTAGTATTAGGATAACAAAAACGGGGGAAGATCGTCCGATTGTGTGGCTGTTTGCAGCCACAACTCAACGCGAAACATTTGTTCAGGCAATTTTAACTTCATCTACAAAATCTCGTATTAGGATAACAGAAACGGGTGAAGATCGTCCGATTGTGTGTTTGTCTCCAACTCAACGCGAAACATTTGTTCAGCAATTTTAACTTCATCTACAAAATCTAGTATTAGTATAACAGAAACGGGTGAAGATCGTCCGATTGTGTCTCTCTGCTCAACGCGAACATTGTTCAACAATTTTAAATTTCATCTACAAAATCTAGTATTAGGATAACAGAAACGGGTGAAGATCGTCCGATTGTGTGTTTGTCTCCAACTCAACGCGAAACATTTGTTCAGCAATTTTAACTTCATCTACAAAATCTAGTATTAGGATAACAGAAACGGGTGAAGATCGTCCGATTGTGTGTCTGTCAGACTCAACGCGGACATTGTTCAGAAATTTTAAACTTCATCGACAACATCTGGTATCAGGATAACAGGAACGCTTGAAGATCATGGAAATATTAACATGTTCAAGAATACTTACAACTGGAAGTTTGTTATATCTCAAAGATATTGCTATTTTATAGTAGCTATAATGTAATTTTAACGTAATAAATATTTTTAAACAGTTCATTTGTATTTTATTTAAATTTTTAATTTATTTTTAGTGTTATCTACAGTTGCCATCTGTCATCAAAGGGTTACTGGAAATGTACGGATAGTTGGTAATACATTAATTTTAAACTAAACTTGAGTTTAATTTTTACATATCTTATTTACCTTATTAATTAAATTTGCCATTAAATGATATTTATAATCAATTATATTTTATCAATTTAATATTTACTCTCAGTATGTAATAAAAAAAGCCAAACTGCAGAGAAGGAAACTGCAATGAGCTAATAAAGCGGCGAAGACTGCGATTTCTCGCCACATTGACTTGCTTGATAGCCAACTTTTTAAAAATGCGCTGAAGATGCTCTGAGAGCAAAAGTACCTACATATTTGGGCAAGATTTATTAAAAAACTGAGCGAACTGTGCTCGCTTGATATCTGCCTTTTATAAGTGTGTACAAAGTATATTTGACTACCGACGACTGACGCTTGAGACCAAAAGTAAATAGAACCATCTCTTCGCATTTCTGTTATCCTAATACTAAATCGAGCAAAAGTCAGTCCTTCAATAATGAACAGAAAAGTGAACATTGGAAGTATTGACAATCATGGGCAGAAATGAAAAACGATCATGTAAGGGAGGCTGTACCTTGAACCATAATCGGTAGAATACGCTGAGCATGATGATATCTTCAAAGCCTTGGTTGATCAAAGCTTTTATTGCTGCCTTGTGATGTATAAAATCGAAAGCTTTCTCGAAATCTGTGAAGGTTAATGCTAGCGGTATATTATTCACTACTCATTAGTTCTCGAAGTGTATCGATATGATCCAGGGTACTGAATCCAGTTTGCTCTGTTGGCTGTGCAGCATATAATGCATTTGTTAATCTGTGGTTGATGATCTTTGTGAATAGCTTGTTTATATGATTAGTAAGTAGACTTTTTTCTGTCTACTTACTGTTGTAAAGTCTGAGTTTTTTCCCTCTTTGCTACCTTTCTTATGAATGAGAATTATGTTTGCTGTATTTCACTGATCTGGTATGCATCTTGATCTTAGTAGGCAGTTCGTAAATATGGCTGCTATGATTTTCCAGGTTTTTTGCCGGCGTATATAAGCAGTTCCACTGTTATGCTATCTATTCCAGCTACTTACCGCTTTTCATTTATGTAATTGTCGATCCTGCTTCTTCCGGTAGATCTTCTTGCTTACTGATTGTTTCTTTCAGTGTTTCGGGAGCTTTGTGTAGTTGGTTTTAAAATTTAGTCGCGAGTTATATTATTTCATTTGTCTTTACGTTAGTTAGAGCAAAGATTTGCTTCTTCCCAATGATCAATGCATTTGTTGTTTTCTTATAGTTTTCGATTGCATTTTCTACCAGTTTTCATCGTATTTTCTTGTCCTTTCTTTCTTTTCCTTATTGTCTAACAAAGTTTTGTGTATTGTATTCTCTGTATGTTGCTACTTACTTTCAAATCTCTTCTTTGCTTTAGCATTATTTTGGTTTTATTAGACAGTTTTTTATGTTCTTTTGTTGTTGTGGGTCTCGGATTTCTTTGGTACTATCAAGGATGATTTCCATTCATTAAGAGCTGTCTATTTGGCCATGTAGTTCATCAATTGTGTAGTGATCTGAGTTTTCTTTTGGATTAATATTTATACCGATTACTGTTGGTTTTGTGATTAATTTTATTCTTTCTACTTTTAGATCTAGAACAATTTTTGCTCTGATTAGTCTATGATTGCTTCCTGTTTGAAATTTATTATAAAATTTTATTCTAGCAATATTGTCGCTTAGAATAAAGACAATATCGTTCAGAATGAAGTCCATTTTCAGTTCGTTTTTTTCTTAAAGAATGTATTTATAATATGCATGTTTTGGTAATGTGCAAACTGAACCAGTCTTTCTCCCCTTTCATTTCTCTCACCGACTCACTCCATACTTTCCCATGACTTGTTCGTTGCCGTTTCTCTTTCCTATTTTGGCATTAAAGTCACCAATGAAATACGTGAAGTGACTTTTATTGTTATTTAATGCTTGACTTATGTACTGTTATCTATTTCTTCATCGGTGTGAGTTATCGTTAGGAAGTACATTTGTAAAATTTGTCGATGTCAACTATCCAGTTTGCAATTTTAATCTTCGTGATACCAAAATTATTGTGTGTAATAAAAGAACAAATTGTGTCAAAATATTTACTTAAACAATAATATAAATAATATGGAACCAAATACAATTCTTAAACTATTGGTATCGAATTTTTACAAAGTAAATGGCGAAAATACAGAATTGGTGGGTCTTGAGATATCACGCACAATGAAAGTTGATGATATAACCAAAATAACAAATTCTGAAACTTCTAAAATGTGAAATATCTAGATGTTCATGTTTCATTTGCAACTACTGTTTCAATAGTTTTCCATTATTAAACGAGAGAGCATGGTAGGTAGTAATGACAAATAATATATCAAAGTGAAAGGTTTTATAAGCAGATCTGGTAGAGTTACCAGATTATTAAACATTATTATACATCATATATTTATGGTGATGACATAAACATATCACCAGTAAGATCGTAAATGTTACATAGGGGGGACCATATATTTTTTCTTATTTTTTTTCTGGCAGATACACTACCACTAATTTTATTTTTCTCGTTCAACATAAATCTCGCCGTTGTTGATTTCCGTTTTAAACTGCAGCCTCACAATACCTAGGATATTATTCTATACATACATTATGTTGTTCAACTTATGATATCGCTAGATATATTACTGTAGAATTATTTCAAGATTATCCATTTTTATTTTTTTAATTCATTATAGCTCCAATAAGAAAGTATCAATTTTTTGTTTAATTCTGGTAAAATAATGGAAACCGTTGAAAAAGTTGCCGATGTAAGTTCATTTAAACGATGTGGAAAGAAAAGTATCAACTCATCATCACGTCCATGGAACTAAGAAGGATTATAGTATTCGCTATGTGCAAGTTCGGAAGAGGGACACCTAGTATCATAGATCAGTGAAATTATTAGCATTTTTTGAACATTAAAGATAGAGGTTATTAAAAGGTAAACATTTCGAAAGCGAGATACCTAGTGTCATAGATCAGCGAACTTTTTGTTAACTGCAAATAAAACTACTTTTAATACAATAATTATTGTAATTTATATCAGAAATCTACTTTTCTCTTTGCATTACTTTTTGCTTACAATTTGGAAACGAATAGAACTTTATAACATTTGCGAAATATCATTATGTTCAATGGTAGTACTTGTCAAATGTGCTAATAAAAATACAAGGTTCCGCCGCTTCACGCGCACGTTCTCGTATCCCCTCCAAGTACTTTCACACAGCGAAATGGTACACGTCAACCTATAGTTCTTGTAGTTAGTTTAGCCACCATAAACAAGATAAGAATTTTGCCAGCACACCACAAACATACTTGAAAAAAAAATTTTTAAGGGTAGTGGTGTACTTCAATTATTTTAATTTTAATCTGTATGTACGGTTTTAAAATTTTGTTTTAAAAGTAGATAACTGGTTGATGAAGGTTTTTATGGTGGCTAAACTAACTACGACAACTATAGGTTGTATAGGATGACACAACCTATAGTAGAACTAAAAGGATTGTGAGTAGATACTTCTTTCCACATCATATCGAAAATGTTTTTTGAAGTGAAAACTTCTTAAGCGACGTTGTGACATTTTTGAATGGGGAAAAACCTTAACTGATACGCAAATTGGTCGCAAAGTCGCACAGCTCGAGATCGGCTTGACGGATCGTGACGTATGAGGTTTCGTTGGAAAGGGGAGAGGGTAACTAGTATAATGGTGGAAAAAAACAGACATGACGGCATTGCAAAAAGGGCATTACATCATATCTCCGTCCTAATTAGTCCAATTTGAGCGCGTGATGCGTTAAATGAAAGGGGAGAGGATACCGATTATATTAAGAAAGAAAAAAACAAACAAAAAAAGATATATTAGACAGGACAAAGGAAAAAGAAGATATTCCACTAATTGGATATTTTAACAGCCACATAAAAAAGGGTGATGAAGATATAGTGGGACGATTCGGAGAAGACGAAATTAGAAACGACAATGGAAGTCGGCTAATCGAAATATGTCGAGAATACGATTTAGCCATAACCAACACAAGATTCCAGCATAAAAACATACGTAGATACACATGGGAAGAACCTAGTAGAAACCAAAGATCAATTATTGATTTAATAATAGTAAGAAAAGCCAGCAAAACAATAATACAAGATGTAAGAGTATACAGGCAAGCAGAATGTGCAAGTAACCACCGATTAGTGCTAGGTAAATTCATATACACGGGAAGACGACAAAAAGACAATATCCAGAAAGATGAGGAGATGCAAAAAATCGCAAATACCTACGAGGTATAAAGTAGAACTTCTACAACAATTTAGTACTCGAATACTATATCAGAATAGGCTACAAAATATGCTACAAATGAACGAAGAATGGACCCCAACAGAAATGTATCAACACCTAAAGGCAAAAATAAAGAAAGCGGCAAACGAAGTGCCGAATACATATTTGGAGAAATAAAATCGAAGCAGGAGAGAAGATTCCCGATGAGTGGAATTTATCATACATGTCCTCCATTTTCAAAAAAGGTGACAAAAGGTCACCAAATAACTACAGAGGGATCAGTGTAATGCCTTCCAGCCAGATCATGTTTAGATAATATATTCATTATGAGACAGGTGATTGAAAAGAACAAAGAAAAAACATTGAAACACATATGACCTTTACCAACTTAGAGAAAGCATACGATAGCGTGCCCAGGAAACAACTATGGGAAGCAATGAGAAGAATGCGCGTTAGAGAGAAATGGGTGAATATAACACAAAGACTGTGAGACAAAGACTATAAATAAACACAAGTGCAAATAAAGCTCGGTAATGAAATAACAAAAACAATCACCGCAACAAAAGGCCACAAACAGGGATGTGGTCTCTCACCTACACTTTTTAACATATATATATAGAACAAGGCGACTACCAAAAGGGCACTACACAACATATTCGTTATTAATGAACGTATGGTTACATAGGAGATACATAGGGCACTATGGATCAAAATAGATTCACTAGAAGACAAAGTTTGCTTTATTTACTTAAAGAAGACCTCTGACTGGGTATAAAATAAACAACTGATCGAATCCTCATAGGCGAGATAGCAACTGAAATGGGAGGATATAACGAATATATTGAACAAATCAAATGAATACTTATAATTTCAACGCAATTTAAGAAGTATTTATTTCTGTTCGCACTTCCTGAGTGCAATACCTTCTTAACACATATAACAGTTGGCACAAAGATATTTTTATTAGTCTTAATTTACTTTTTGGTTACAAACTTGTATTGAAAAAATCACTAAATGGTGATTATCTCTTCATTAGAATGGTAATGGGTTTGAACCTGCCTGATATACCTATTTTACATCTAATAATATTTGTCGAGTATATTCCAAGGATCAGGTAAATGGACTATATAATTTACAAAAGTGAAACAGTTTAGGTAAGCACTTTGGAGATGAGAAGATATTCTATTAATGATTATGCTTGCCCAAAATTTTATAACTTTCTTGTATTTTTAATTAGCAAAGAAAAGTCTTTTACTACAATACTATAAAAGAGGATGAAACATTAATAAATTATCCGTTCATTACTTTGTGCATGTCTCCACACTCACCCACAAATATATTAATTAAAATTATTTCACTATTATACATGGTTCATCTTTAAATAAATAAATGTGGTATACATATATTCAATATAAACATTTTTACACTGATTGCTTAAATGGTAACGAAATGCTAGCTACTAGGACACTGATCAGTCTCGGTATTACTATCACTACTATTTGAGTCTTTACAGCACCGGCACTGCTGTTTCTGTTTATCCGAATCTTGTCTTTTCCGCCTGTCACACTTAAACGATCGGTGACACTTATTGTTGCACTTACTGGACCTATATACAGGGGCAACTAATTCTACTTTTATATTAGCAGTGGCAGTGACTTTTGTAGTAAAAGGACCACTTGAACTTGATTCAGGACTGCTGTACTCAACAGTAACTTGTGGTTCCACTACAATGCTCTGGTTACAACTTTCCTCAGTTATCGTGGTGAGACTTGGTTCTCTTGTAGTCTTATTTGAACTGCTGCGCTTGGATGGCTTCGAAAATGACGAATTTCTTGTAGGAAGAGGAGAAGGAATAGAGGGTGGAGGAGTGGAGATACGATCTGTATGTTCTAGAGGTTGTAATTCAGCTCTTGGACCAAGTAAAGCAAGAAACAGAGGAAAGAATATGAACGAATTGGCCAAAGATCCACAAACTGAGAGTAATATCAACATAAATATGTGGTAATGGATAAATTCAAACTGAGAAGTTGCTAATACTGATGCACATATCAAAAGTCCAATATCCCCTTTTAGGATTGGCTCTGCATTTACTTCTAAGGATAGTCTTACTCTACGCTCTCTGCTACCGATAGCACTTAGGTACCCCGTTAAAATCAAAAATATATTTCTACTTATTATTATAAAGTGAAGAGCTCCCAGAGTACCACTTAGGGCATTAACATTCATCAGACAAAGCAACAATAGACAGACCAAGGTACTGAATAGAGCGCACCAAAGTTTTATCCACTGGACAAGAACAAATGCTACTATTGCAGCAGAAATAATAGTTAACGCAAATTGAGCAGCTAGTAGTCTATCAATAAGAAGGAACTGGTTATAATAAGCAAATATAAGACCTATAGGATAATTTTTCAAGCCTCTATTGTTAAATTGCTCGGATATATCCTTGATTTGTTTGAGAGCACTGATAACATTTGAAGTACTTCTCAAATTTTTGAGGTAAAACGGCATTTGGGTATATACAAGTGGTTGTGATTTAGGAATTTTTAAATCATATTCAGCTTTTGAACTATAGTACTGAAATGGTTTAGGCGTCAAGTTAGCCTGTGAGCTTGAATAGGAAATTTGATCATTACTATTCCATACTGATAAATAATTGTAAAAAGCTTTAGGATCTATAATATTATTACGAACCAGTCTTTTCTTAAATATTTGACTCTTGTCTACCGGATATTGTACAACTCCAGTCTGTGAGAGTAGTTTGAAGGCTAATACTGCTTTTTCAGTGGCATTAGGGAACCACTTCTCGCTATTTAAACAACTATTGTTTCTATTGTAGTCGAATTCTTGTTGCAAATCAACCAGAAAGTCTCTAAAATTTGCCAGCCAGAAGTCGTTCATATTGAGACCACCATTTGAATCTTTTAAAACATAAGGAACTTGAGTCAAAGAGGAATGATATTCATACAAAATCGGTTGATTCAACGGATATTCCAGTTCTGTGGTAACCAAATAAAAATTGTAAAACCCGAAATAAGTATTCTGTGCCTCCAAGTATTTATACTCCTGAGTCACTTTTGGCAAAAATGTAGACAGTCTTACATCAAATTCTAATTTTAATCCATTAAATACACAAAAAACTATTAACACCGCATATGCAACACTCATTAAGACCTTCATGAATGATCTGAATAACACTGTAGTCAAGTATCTTGTTACACACCAAGATATCAGTCCTTTTTTGTGTTGGCATACTTGTTCTGCAGTCAACAAGTTACTCCCATGTTCCTGAAACAAGAGAAATTTAATTAATTAATTAATTTCTTAAGATTAATAAGAAATAATTACTTAAGATTAATATTTAAAAATTAAAGCATAATATCACAAGGAAAAGAGTAAGAATACAATTTGAATTATAGAGATCATAATATATGACAAAAGACATTAAAACTTTCTGATGAGAGAAGTGCTGTTTTTTGTCTTTGTACACCTTTACACTGTATTTATCAGTTCAAATACTTCAAACGTCATTCAAGAAATAATTAAATTTAAGCTATATACAGTATTGGAAGATTCAAAACGGAACATACGAATTATTAATATAATTATTAAGATCCCCTGACCTGCAATTACCCAGTGTAAATTTCAATATAACGTCGCGATGTCTTATAATTAATTCATTTGTTCGACTGGACTCCTTCTCCAGTCGATATTTTTCGACTGCTGCGCACGTGCGCACCTTAATAATACGACTAATAGTTGATTGTGTCGGTATTGGCCTATCTTCATACGCACAAGTAAATAAATTTATAATATCACGGTACGAGTTGCCCCCATAATACCATTTTAAAATTTGTACTTTTTCTTTGTTTGTATACATGGTTTATGGTTAGAAACACTACTTTTATTTCAGCTTATGGCGTTATAATGAGAAGCAAAGCAAAGGGCATGTATTTGTTTTGCTCGGCCAGTGATGTTCCTTGGGACTGTTGCCAAATCGATAGATACCTTCGGCAAAAATCTGTAGATTTTGATGTATCATATACATCCTTTTAAATTTTAAATTATCAACAATATTTGGAATAATAAATATATTAAACTATACACTAACCAATTCAAATAATATCTAATGAACACAAAAAAATTGATATTAATAAAACATTGTTATTATCTGCACAAAAACACAGAAAATCAGTGGACGATAGACAACAGTGTCGACGTACACCTGTCGAATACGCTGCTAGAAATCGCCAAGGAGTAGCAATCCAGTCGAACAAATGAATTAATTATAAGACATCGCGACGTTATATTGAAATTTACACTGGGTAATTGCAGGTCAGGATATCTTAATAATTGTATTAATAATTCGTATGTTCCGTTTTGAATCTTCCAATACTGTATACCCAAAATGGTAATAAATAATCACCATTACCACTGGTGCTATAGCAATAAGGTATAGCCTTGACCTTACCAAGTCTTCTTCGCCATTCGGTCCTAACCATTGACAACTGTTGCCAGTTTGTCGTACCAATGTTCCTAGTATCCTCAACCAATCAATAATTCCGTCTAAGTTTTGGCATACCTCTACGCCCATTTCACCCGGGATATGACATAAAGACTAGTCTGGGAGGGCTGTTTTGTTATAATCATGCTATCATGCAATCGGAGTTTTTCTAGTTTTATAAGAGTTATCCAATCCCAAATAATGGACATTAGCAACATGGAATGTCAGAGGTCTTAGCGGCGAAGAAGTTGAACTTGCCCAAGAATTTTAGAAAAATCAAATAGATGTATACAGGTGTAAGTCCAGGAGATCAAAAAGAAGGTAAAAAGTACACAGTTTCTACAGAATGGACACTTCCTGATCACCAGTGGAGTATCACAAAGCGAAAAGGCAAAAGAAGATATAAGCTGTGTAATAAACGGTAACCAAATAAAGAATATTAAAGATTGGGAATGCATTTCCGGAAGGATTCTAAAGATAAGACTGGCATAACTGCTGAACACAAATTAGTCAATATTATCGTCATGTATGGAATAAATTTATTCTGGGAGAAGGCCTCAGCGATTCTAGACAGTTTAGAGGACAACACTATAGTATTAGCGGACCTATATGGTCGAGTGGGTGTAAGAGATTAACATACCCAAGATGGATTAGAACCACACGGAGAAGAAATAAAAAACGACAATGGGGAAAGTATTGAATGTATGAATACATTTTTTCAACACAAAGATGCACACAAATACACAAGAGAAGTCAAAAGCAGAGGAGAAAGATCCATTATAGACTATGTGTTAGTGGTCAGACTATCAAGGCAATGTAAGAAAGACATAAGAGTAAAACGAAGAGTCAAGATAAATAGTGACCACTATTTAGTTATAGCTAGGACCAGCTTGGGAGTGCAACGAGAATCAATAACGAAAGACAAAGAAAAGAAGTACAGCTCATAATAGTCTCACTAAACTACGTGGATAACTACGTAAAAGAGCACGCTGAACAGGTTTGTGACTTAGACCAAGCTTAGCAAAAACGGAAAGAAGCACTCCTAAATGGTGGTAAACAAGTATGCAGAATAACAATAAGTAAAAGTGTACAAACTGGTGGAACAATGAAATAAAAGCAGAAGTAAAGACCAAGAAGATAGCTTGGAATAATTATCTAAGAAGCGAAACCATAGATAACTAACAAAAATATAAACAGCAGAGAACCAAAGTCAAAGATACAGTACCTATTAGCAGAGAAATAGAAAAGTTGGGAAGAATTTGGTAATATTCTTCCTTTGCAAGGAAGTCTAACAAAAAATTAGAAAAATTTGTGGTACTTCGCAGAGTCCAAATATCCACAGATATCCGCAAATAAAATAATATCCACAGATGAAGATATTGCAAACGTTTTAGCGGATTTTTACGAAAGTCTCTCAACCGACAAAAATCCCAGTGCACATTTCTTCACATTCAGCATCTGAAACCTATACTCTTCCTAATAATGAAAATCCTAATGTAGCAATTAATAGTCGCATTATACTTCAAGAACTTTAATTCAGCACTTTCAAATCTTAACGATTCTTGTCCTGGACCCGATGATATCCCAACAATATTTCTAAAACATCTTCAGGAATCAGCCAAATATTATTTATTTGATTAATTTCATATGGATGCAGCAGTGTTTTCCTTAAATGTGGACTAATTCCTACGTCCTACTTCTTTTAAAAGACAATAAATCACGATATAGTATGGAATCATACAGTCCAATCTCAATATAATTACTTCCATGTGCAAACTTACCGAAAAAATCGTTAAGAGTAGATTAATCTGGACATTGGATAAAAATCGATTACTGATTACTGAGCAAAATAGATTTATACAGAAACGATCAACGTCTGATAACATTCTGTAATTCGAAAGCGATAATATGGAATCGTTTGCAACTAATAGAAAATATACCACCATATTTTTTTACTTAAAAAATGCCTTTAATACTGAAAGGAAATACAGCATTCTAAAAACGTTGTATGAGTGGAATATCCGAGGACACTGTGTATTGTTCAGCAATAATTATATTTTTTAACCAATAGGACTTTTCGGGTAACAGTTTCAATTTCTTAGTCGAAAATTCACTGCTTAACAAATAGCGTTTAATGATATTTTGAAAAACAAAGAGAAATCTTTATAAGCACGGATTTATGCTGACGATTTATATTTACAAAGGGAAAAAATATAGATAGTATGAAAAAATGTTTACAAAGATTTATAAATAAACTGGAAACATGGTCTTAGAACACTAGTTTTGAATTTTCTACTACAAGCACAAGAGTCATGGTCATTGTAAAAACAACAATTATAAATACCACGCCAAATATTACCAAATAACCAATAACAGTAGATCCCATATTGAATTTTTAGGAATGCATTTGGACAACAACTAACATTGCAGAACATATAAAGCAATTACAATTCACTTGCCATGAGAGAATAAATATTTTAAAAACATTATTAAACAGGAAATGGGGTTCCGACCAAAATAAAATATTTTATTAGCATACAATTCATTAATCAGGTATAAACTGAATTATGGATGCATCGCTTATTTACCTGCCACAGAGACTATTTTAAAATCTCTAGATACAAATTATAATAATGGTCTAAGAATCGTACTACGAGCATTTAGAAGTAAATCTATTGAGAGCATATACGCTGAATATGGTGAGTCATTACTTTACTACAAGCGAATGCTACTGACACTAACACATTATCCTCGGTATACTGTAATCCAGAAAAACATATTTACAGTAACACCTTCACAGATACTCTACAATATAGCCAACTTTTTAATTCTAATGATAAACTAAGAAAACCATACTATGAAAGAATTAGAACACACTCTAAGAAATTAAACTTACGATTTTCACGATATATTCAATCCAAACATTGCTGATCCTCATACCTCTTGGTCAATTAATATTCCACAATGTATATTTGAGCAAATACAATAAATGGGAAATACATCCTTCAATAATAAAACCTATTTTATCAAATATACTCCAATCTTGTGAAAATTTCTTTAAAGTATTTACAGATGTTTCAAAATCTAGCAGTGAAGTTGGTTCCACTTTTGTGATCAATTCAAGTAAACTTCTATAAACTATCTCCCCACTGTAGCATATACACAGCCGAATTATTCGCTCTTCATCGAACAATTAAACTTATTAAAGGTACCAATATCGTTAAAGTGGTGATTCTTTCTGATTATCTGATATCGATAACTTCAATTTGACGAGTGTATCCTAAACACCCAATTGAACAAATGTTCAAATCCCCGGAAAAACCTTTTTACAAAAATTGCCATGAACAGAGTATGGACATACTAGACTCACACACTCTTACCTATTTTCAAAAAGTAACCCACCAATATGCGAGCACTATATAACCTTAACAGTAAAACATATCTTTGAATGCCATAAATTCAAACATCAACAATCTCTTTACAACATAAATTCAAATTTATTACTCGTGCTAGGTCAAAATAATTATTCAAAGAACTTAATAGACTATTTAAAAGCTACAGAAGTATTCCTATTTTGTAGAAATCTCCTTTTTGCAACCATTTAATAGACCTAGTATACTATTTGTAAAATAGTACAGATCGGTCGCTAATGACTACTAGGTGGATGCGACCTTGTCTTTCAACACGTTCGCGAAGACGCAGAATTCAGAGGTTTTACCTCTCAGCCGTAATTACATATATAAAGTACTTGGGCAAGATTTGATTAAACTTGTGCTCGATATTTGCCTTAAATTTTCAAAGTTCATTTATTCGAGCATTCAACCTCATATCAATTAATTTCTATTTTGACTATTATCAATATATTTTTCATATGTTTAAAACCACATTTTTCTACCTAAAAGATATTTTTTGTATATACCACCCGTGGTACACGCCGGCTGTAGTGAACATTCTTCAAGAAAAAATGTCGTGTACCACCGGTGGACACAATGTGAAGTCGTGGGTCTCATAGTATTTTGTTGCATTTGTAACGGTTACCTGTTTAGGTTACTGTTGAAGGTTATACATGTAACCTAAACATATATGCATGTAAAAGTTGTTCAAATATACCTGACAATGATTTTGGACATTCCTACAATATTTGCATGGAATTACTTAAGGGGCTTTTGTATGAAAGAAGGCCACTATATATTGACAATTATTATAGTAGTGTAAATTTATGTAGAAAGCTTCTTCAGTGTAAAACATATGTTTGCGGAACTCTTTGATCTAACAAAAAAACAAAAGCTGTATGAAAAAAAAATGAAAGAAAGGGCAAATACATGGAAAACAAAATGATGAGGGCATAAATGTTGCCAAATGGATGGACAACCGCCCTGTATTAATGATTAATACAGTTCCTAGCCATACCGTGTACCACAGGTGGTCACAAGGGGCTAAATGAAAATTTCGGCATGTACCACTGGTGGTCCACGTCGTCGCGAACGTGTTAAAGAACAAAAAATTATATTGAATTTTGTGCCATCCAAGATAAATGGCGCCTGTGTGACCTTTTCTAAACTGTATAGAAATTAAAATTAAAAAATATAGATAAAAACTAGCGGACCAACTCGACATTGAGTTTTGATGTAAGTTTTGCTGATATTTAAGAGGGGCGGAGTCTAACGATCCATCGTTTCCGTCGCCTGGTGTAAATGTTACAAAAATCCTAAAAATAAACTGTATCGACGCCAATTTTTTTAAATTGAAAATCGATACAGTAGTTTTTTAGGATTTTCAGGAAGATTTACATTAGGAAACGAAAACAATATGATTGTTAGACTCCGCCCCTCTTAAATCAAAAACGGAAGTAAAACCGGAAGTAACTTTTTTTGCATATTTTAGATTGTAAAATGCCACGTTTAAGAAAAAGAACTCGGTTTGAGAACTCGCGGCCCCGTCCATATGCTCTGGAACACCGTGAAAGAAACCATAATTTTCAAAACTAAATCCGGAAGTAGGGAAGCAAATACTTCCGGTTTCATAATTCTGAATTCAATCAGTAAGTATAAGAAAAAAGTAGACGCGGTCATATTTTAAAAATACATTGAAAATTAGGACTGTAAATTTTGAAGAATGAAACCTGTAAAATTCCTATACTTTACTATAGGAAAAATTCATTTTATGGCCGCCATTTTTAAACCGGTTTGAATTTTTTAAATTTGAAACCTTAGGGGGAATCTACTGAACAATCTGTTTAATTATGCGAAAAAATTATTCTCCTATCTATCACCGTTTAGGAGGAGTATTGCGCACAAGAAAAGGGCTTAGCCTTTTAGTAAATAAGATATCTCTAGAAAAGAATGAAAGTTGTAAACTTACCACATCGGGATTGTTGTTATTGTTGACCATTTTGACTTTGGTGTCTGATTTGAAGCAAGGAACATCGGATTTCTTGCATCTCTGCTGCAGAGCCAAAAATGCAGGAAAAATGAGGAGAAGAGCGGTTCCATGGAACACGATCATAATAGCGCACTGTAAACAAAACACTCTCAAGGCGGGTATGGGTAAAATTGCAGCAGCTACAAAAGCGCCAGAGTTTATAAGAGCTGCGGATATAATATTAGGTCCTGTCCGTTTTAACACTTCCGCGGGTAACAGTTTTCGAGTGTGAGTCGATAAAATAAGGAACATTTCACGCATAGCCAGTCCTACTGTTATAAAGGGTAACACTTGAGTACTTAAAAGGTTCATAGGAAGCCCTATGAGGCTGCAAACGCCAAGTGCAGCTGCTGTAGAGCTTGCTAAGACTAGAACACCTGTAAAAAAAATAAAGTTAAAATAATTAATTATTTATTTTTGGGTTATTCTTACCTATGGAGGCAATTGGTGAGTGAGCTACCCAACCATATATACAAGCCACTGCCAAAACAATCCCCAACTTAAGCAAATCGGTGCGAGAATATTCCTTCAATAACTTGTTAACATTTGCTGTTGAGAAAGTGAAGAAAATGTATGAAGAAGCCGGGTTATTCTTCGTCAACCGATCAATTTCGTCCGCAAACTTTTTTTGCCATGCATTTAAAACTGTAGTAGCTTTTTCTTTACTCCAACTTATATGATGTACCTTATAATTATCTGACCAAAACTCATACAGCTCGTGGTCTCCCATTAGTTGAACGACAGTTTGCAAAGCTTTGGCTTTCTTTATGTGACCAGTTTTATTTTTCTGAATCCCTCCTACTATGAGATCCTCTGGCCAATGCATGTATTTGGCCGCAAAACCATAGCAGCCACTGGTAAGCTCAGCTCCAATATCTGGTGGGTGAGTGTGGTTCTTATTAGGGGCAGTATCAGGGCATTCGGGATCTTTGGGGTTAAGGCAAGGTTTTTCCTGGTATCCCGTCGTGATTCCAGCACGCTTCAAATAATCTTCTAAAGAGTGGTAATCGAATTGGGACTCTTTTAACTTTATTTGCGAAATTAGCTCGCTAGGATTTAAGTTGGTCCATTTTACTTGGTTACCTATTCCATACCTATAACAAAAACAATTTTTTTTTAATTTAAAAATAAAAACGAAAAAATAATAATTAAATTTAATAGGTTGAACATTACGAGCTGCCCACAAAACTTGCTTTAGTTAAACTAAAGAAATTAATAAATCGTTGCCTATAGTTGAAACGGAAGATTTTTATAATAGTCTCCAAGATGCAACAGACAGGATACAGAGAAATGAAAATATAGTAATTTTTAAGATTTTAATGCAATAATGGGAAATAACAATTGGCAGAGATTCAGAAATTTTAAATAAGCAACCAATAAATTCTGGAAAGTACATAAAATAAAAAAATAGTTAACGAATGAAAATATTTCAGTTCCTCAGGTTCCTTTCAAGCCACAATTACTACAGATAGCAAATAAGAAAGAAAACCCAAAAATGTGTATAGTAGACGAGATTATAGATCGTTTAAGACTGCCTCGTATCATTGTGAATTCAAACCCATTGAACGTATTTGGGGAATATGCAAAACTTACTACGATAACTATATTGGAAGTAACGGTTACAATGACGCAGCAGTTTTGGAAACATGGCAAGAAGCATTGAATACTGCTGGATGTATGAAAATCGCATCGAAGCAATTAACCCAGTCATCATTTAAAATTCAAATGAAGATACCGACGATAGTAATTATGAGTATGGATCTAATTTTTGATTACACTGACAAGTAAAAGCTTTCATCCCTTATAGAAAATAGTCGTAAATTAGTGAAATGTACTATACTCATTTATTTTAGTAAAGCATTCTTTTTAAAAAATATTTTTTTATTACTGAGTGTTTGCTTTCAGTTTACTGAACATTTAAACAATTTCCGTTTTATCGTCTAACCAATTAAGTGCTTCCTTACAATGTATTTACAAAGAAAGAGCAACATCTAATGAGAAAATGAGGGAACTACTTGGGTGGCCTTAAAATCAAAACAACTTGAACGACAGCGATGTGATAATCAATCATGAAGAAATTTACCTATTTTTGGCTAGAGCTCGAGCATGCAACCAATAAAGCTGACACATGCAAACAGTATTGTCTGTATCGAAGCAGTTATGCTAATTTTTATGTATTTTCCTGTTGTAAATATATACAATTATTCATATAGCACAATACAGATACTTTAAACTTACAATCGACATTCAGTCGTCATTTCACAGGGACGGCTTTAAACGAAACTACCAAATAAAACTACATGTTTGTATAAAATGTAAATATTTACATAAATTCACTATTTTTCAGTTTAAAAATATTTAGAAAAGATGCGGAGGGTCAATTATTTTTCTTTTGTCGCCTTATAAGTCTTTTTATTACAGAACAGTGTATATAAAGTACATCCCAGAGGTACTTTTCAGTGCGTCATTAATTATGACGTCATAGAATGAATTAGGTGTGTCGAGAATTATTTCATATAATTATTGAAGAATCTGACAGATGCCAGAATCGTATTTAGCCACAGGGGGTAATCCCGTATATTAATAAAAATAAAAATTAAATAATATTGTTTATTAAATTATGGAAACATTTAAAATTGACGACAAAATGATTCATTTATTGAATTTTTGTATCTTCTTCTTCTCAAGGGGCTGTCAGCGGCTCTAAATAAGTCGTTATTACATGAGTTACGTCTCCTTTCTATGGATCTTTGTCTCCGGATTTTTCCTTGCATAACGACCTGGAGTATTAGATATTTATCTCCTCTCATCGCATGACCCATATATCCCACTTTTCTTTTCTTAATTGTTAGTACTTCTCTTTCCTTATGCATACGTCACATTACCTCAAAGTTGGTTATTCCATCTACCCATGAGATCTCTAGTATTCTTCGGTACATCCACATCTCGAATGCCTTCAGTCTTCTCACGTCAATTGTTCTGTGTCCACGCTTCCATCCCATATTATAATACGGATAGACTCTAGGGAAGCCTCTGTATTCTTGTAAATGCGCTTCTGGCCTGTTTGATTCTGATTCGTATTTCTTGAGAGCTGTCATTGTTTTCATTAAAGTGTATGGTTTAGTTAATGTATATGTTTAGTTGTATCTAGGTATTTGAATTATCTTACTATTTCAATAGGCTGATTCTGTACATATATCTCACGGATGTCCTGAGTTGTCTTTAAATAAATAAAACAATTTTATTTTCAGGGTAATTTTCAACTTACTTCACGAACAGCAGAAATTGATAATAATGTTTGTCCAGCTTCCTTTTCCAATTGAAAACATTTAAGCAATTTTAATATTAGAACTTGTTCTTGTTCCCTGTATCTTGTCATCTTGTACAAATACGAATAAAACCACAATCACAATACTATGTAAAACAAAATAACAAAAACAAAATTCAAGTGAGTACTTGAATTCTTTCTTTTTCTGATAAATTTGCCACTATTCTTTTACTTTTTAAAGTCTGTAGGTATCAACTTTAAATAATCAGTTTTGACAGTTTGTAGTTAGACAAATAATAATGGTGTTGTTTACAATCTCAATGCCCACTAATATTTTTGTCTTATGTTAAAGAGCTAAAGTCAAATTCATAACAGATGTGCGTGAACTAGAGATAACACATTGTTACCACACTTTCACTGTAATTCAGTTCAATTAAATATTTTTAACAAAGCTTTTTCAGTTATTTGGGTAATCATTTATTATTGCCACGAGTTATTATCATTTTTGAAAAGAAGATGAAATAAGTTTTTCTTTGATATATCACATAATCTACGTTGCTATTTTAAAAAATTCAAGATGGCGGCGATACTGGAAACGATGACGTCATACAAACTTGGGTTATCTTTTAAAACATGCAGAATATAATTCCATTTAGTATTTCAAAATTTCATAGTTTTAAGTTTATTTTTTTAAAAGATAAAGCTTTTATTTCCAGATTTTTTCGCAACCCTGTATAGTATACAAATATACGATTTTTTGTTCTAAAAATATATTTTTTTAATACTATAAAACTGATTTCAAAGCACGTGGTGGTTGTGTGTATTAAGGTATAAAAAAAAATGCTTATTAAAAGCTTAAAATTTTTATTTTAAAGAAGATCTTTTCGGAATTGAATCATTCCAACAGTTTACTAAAAGAGAGACTAAAAATACCAATATTAAAAAACAAGTAAGTTAAAAATTTAAATATAATAAAAAGAACACGTTGGTTTTTTACTACTTACATAAAAAGTTGTCAAAAAACATTGTATGGCCACATGAAAAAATAGGAAGGAACTCCGTATTAAAAAACAATCCTGTTGGTGTTTATGAAGATAAATGCCATAGACTGTTAGTTTGTTGAATACTAAAAACTGAAAATGGGGGCATCTTACATGACCCCCTCTAGTTGGTGAGGTTTTATTGACTTACATTACTTCTGATATCTCCAGTTCATGGTTTGTTCCAGTTTCACTTTTAAAATTGATTTGTTCAAATTTAAAAATAGTATTAAGAAAAATTGTTCATAAATAACAATTTAATATTGTTTATTAATAATATTTAATTAATATAATTATATTTTAAATAAATAAAAAAATAACAATAAAAGCGAAAAGAGGGTTGTCGTTATTAGCTGCTTTGTTTTGGATAATTTTGCAAGGAAAATACGATAAATGTTATTATTTTAATCTTGTCCCCTTTTTATCCCCCTAGTTTAAAAAAATAAAGATTAAAGTGCACTCTATCTTAATCTGTGTGGATTTTTTTTTTGAAGAAAGCGGCTACCCTTTATTTGGGGGTACACGTAAACTCATCACCAATTAGCATAAATATCCCCGTACATAGTACAAACTCATCACCGCCATAAAAGTAGGGATTTTAAAACAGACCCCGAGAGATTGGTAAAGTTATCACTGGTCTACCTGTACCCCATGACATAGAAACCCCTTGAAAACCGCTAAGATTTGGTAATTTGACAGGATAAATCTAAAATAGATGTATTAAATGTAAATGTAATTCATTGGTTTTTATTTGCGAATTTCACAAAATTCTATTGATAGCTATCTAAAACTACGCGAAAAAAAATTTCTCTTCATTTGCCCTTGTTCCTTTAACATTGATAGTGAAATGCTCATTGATTAAGTTTTGAGCCAACGTGGACGAAAATGATAGAAATCAATAATTTCAAATTTTAATTGCGAAAGACTCTAAAATCGAATATCATTCCGATCAAAAAGAAAAAAATCAGCTTAAGTAAGTTCTTTAGGGTACCTGTACAAGATGATTCTTGTAGACAAGGTTATAATATTACTTTGTTGCTTCAAGTAGATTATCCTTTCTTGATATTACATTTTTAGATTTCTGATTAAATTGTTAAGGTCACATTGTTATAACTTCATTTAGAACTTTTATAATGACAGTTTTACATTAGACATGATTTAATTAATTAATTTTGATTGTTGGTTATTTTCTGGATTTTAATTGAAATAAGAATAAGAAAATTAATATTTACAAAACTGTTAGATGTTAGATACAAACCAAAGTATGTATATAAAATATGTATGTTACTTATGCATTATCTATTTGAGAAAAGTACGGTAATAATAATAAGTGTGCATCGGTGTAATATTAAAGATGGTGTTCTATTAAAAACAACCTAAATCATGCCACATACAACAACTTGTATAGCAAAAAATAATTTTTGGTGATAGACCATTTAATTCTAGAGAACTTCGCTATTTTTCTTACTTGACCCAATTTCCATATTTCGTGAACGGTGGTAAAGTGAAACATCCTACATATTGTAGAAGTTAAATAAACACAAATGTATCTCAGTAATGTTTCTTAAAGTTTGTTAAGAAATACTCTACATTTCTCTTGCTAGATATTTTTGATACATTTTCAAAGTGCCAGGATTGGAAAATCATCATAAATAACTAGTTTCTGTGTATAATTGCAATAGTACCCTTGTAATAAATTTTGCAATACCAGGTGAAGATCCAAATATTTTTTTGACTTAACCATAAATGAATAATTTTTTCTAATTCAATAAAGGAACTTTTCACA